TTTTTTGGAAAATATTCAGTTACTTAAGTTTATTGATTTAGGATTTTTACTTTGAGGTGAACCATTCCCGTTAGTGCATTTTCTCTGTCGTATGTTCTGCTTGTCCAAACTGAAAATGTTACATCATCACCAACTCATATTTAGACATGACATCCAATAGGGGGAGGGTTACTTTCGTACAGAGTTTTAATTCATCTTGCTTTGGTCAGATTTCAACACAGCTTATGAGTAATGTGAAGTGCAACATCCAGCTGGTGAATGGATTAATTCCATCAATATGTTTGACTAGCTATATTTAAATAGCATGTTAGGATTCCATGTTGACATGGAATAATAGTGTTGATATCATTGTTGTCTGTGCACTCTTATTAAATTTATATTGTTTTTCAAATTATTTGTATTAATGTGCAAAGCAATTACATTAAATAAATATAAGATTGTTTGTGTATGCACTGTAAAATATATTTTACAAATTGTAACCTGTTTCCCATTAACATATGCACAGGTCTGAAGGCCTGTGGCTGGGACTGGTCATGGCCATGCTGTGGCCCACGGTTGTGAGCACTGAAGAGAGTCTGGAAGAATCATGGACAGACTTCTGGGTTTTTCGGCTCGTCATAAATATGGCTGGATACAGTACCATAATCCTACCTGGATATCTACTTATCCGTTACCTAAAGCACCGTAACTACCTGGAGACAGGTTTGTTATGCCTATTTATTTTTACCTTCATTTGGTACAATATTGTTTTAAAATGAAGCTTTATTGTAGCATACTCATTTTGCTTTTCTTAAATTTTCTGCAAAGGTCATGTATAAAAAAAGCCTGGTGGCGTACCTATGAAAATAGTGAGATTCTTGCGACATTAAGCAAAACAGAGCTTCATACAGGAGCGTGGCACGTGTGATCTTTGTGCAGGGCATGGCAAATGCTTTCCCTTGGTGCGTGCGTGCGTCTTTGGAAACGAGGACAAGACGGGCACTGTGGGGGAATCGGCCACGCTAGTGTCAGAGGCAGTCGAGAGCTCCACAGCCAAGCAGGCTGCCCGGCTCATCATGTGCATCACTGGGCTGCAGGTGAGAACTGCAGCCATGATGCAACTCAGTATTCGGGCATACATCTCGAGGAGAGCTGCTGGTTAAGATGGAGCATTGGCTGATGAGCTGAACAATTACTGTTGTAGTAGAGGGTAAATGGGTGAATTTATTAAGACCAGCAGAATAAGCATTGTGAACTTAATGTAGATATACATTTCTGCATATTTCACGAACTGGATATGCCTCCGAAGCATTCGCTGTATGTGTAATAAAAATGAGTAAACAGGATCATTGTTCGACTGTATATGGTTACTTTGAATTTTACTTTAAAATAGCACTCCATGGTCCTTGCATATGGAATTGGGTCTGTCCATGATTGTCTGGAAACACTGGCACCAAATTGCACCCCAAAATAATTAACAATTTTGGGATAAAAAAAATCCAAGCAAACTCAAGCGTTATCACGTTTAGCATGAGCATACATTTACTCTTGGAACACCTTAGCTGTAGCTTTGTCTACATTGGCTTTTCCTGTTGCGTGGTCTAAAATAGGTTGATGGTAATATAGTATTGTACATTCAAGGTTGGCACTTTTAGGGTCCCAAAGGTTACAGACTGGACTATTGTCTCCAACTCACATTACAACTGCAATATTACAGCTTTAATATTAACTGCTACGTATGGTGCGATAGAAGTGCAACATACATACATTTACAAAATCAAATAATGTGAAATATATTTCGATGTAACTTGAGTTTTTAGCTTGCAAACAGCTATGGTGCAGTATCGGTGAACATTTATTAAGTAAAATCTTAACCTTTAAGGTTTTGCAAATGTGTAGCTTCCAAAGTAAATGCATTATTAGTCTGCCGTTTTATACTTGCCCTTGGAACTTGAAACAGCACTAATCTCCATTACTTTTGAAAGCAAATTGAATGGTTTAATCTGTTAGTGCCACAACCATTGCACACTCTAGTATGGCTTTTAAGCCTTGATTTTTGTTAGAAAGACGCATGCTGTTTTCATCCAAGAAAACAAAATTAACAACCTTAAGTGTTGCACTATTTATTGCTGGATGAGGGCCTCGCCACGCTGTGCAGTCAGTGAGGGTTAATTGTCCATACTTCACCAATCTGGTCAGTGCCGGTTAAAGGTGGGGGAATACATAATGGGTTTTCCTGCACTGCCGTCTACTGCCCAAAATGTCAGGCTTGTTCATTGTCCGAGGTCTGGACGGATCAAATGCATTCCGGTTGATCTGATCAAAGCCGTAGTCTGTTGTCAATATTAATTGCTCTCGCAAAGATATTAAGACATTGAAGCTATATATCATTTAACAACTATAACTTGCAAATTGAGAGCAAAAACTGATGTTGATAACCTGCCACTCATTGAGTAAACTGGTAAAGCAGTACTGTAGAAAAATGGAACTTTGACGATCACAATACTGCCCTCAAGCATGTTTCTTATCCACACCCAGTCCTAGGCACTTAAAATACTATTTTGTAAACTCCTGATGTCTGCATTTTCTTTCTGCATTGCTGCCCCCTTGCCTTTGAAGGTGTCGTACCTGACGTGGGGTGTGCTACAAGAGCGTGTCATGACGCGCGAGTATGGGAAGGGCGAGGAGGGCGGTGGTGAAACATTCCGTGACTCGCAGTTCATGGTCTTCATGAACCGCATCCTGGCGCTGGCCATTTCTGGCCTCTGCTGTGCAATAACCAAGCAGCCCCGACATGGCGCTCCCATGTACAAGTACTCCTTCTGCTCCATGTCGAACATCCTCAGCAGCTGGTGCCAGTATGAGGCCCTCAAGTTCGTCAGCTTCCCCACACAAGTGCTGGCTAAGGCTTCAAAGGTAAAGTCAATTCTTCTAGCTAGAGATCACATCACCATCCATGAGCAATCCAATGCTGGACGAAGGCCTCCCCAAGCTGTCACTACCTTTCACGATCCAGCACCTGCACATGAACTGATCTCATATTTTATTATTTTATTGTTTCCCTTCAACGTGACTTTACCGAAAGAACCAAGAATATGATCTCATCACTCCATCTTCTTGGTTCATGTCCCCTCACACACAAGAGATCATATAAGCATGCAGTAATCCAAATCAATGCAACTCAATTAGTCAAAATAATATTTATAGATTTAATTGTAGGTCGCTTTTTTCTTTCTGGCTACAATAAACAACCATGTTGCCTAAAGTAAATTTTGCAAAACGCTAAAATGGCTTTCAGCGTTTAACCCCCAAAGTTCCATTAACGCTTGCGGTAGACCAAGAGATTTTCATTAAGTCCACATGTACACCTTGTGTCACGCTGTGTCATAGGTAATTCCTGTTATGCTGATGGGGAAGCTGGTGTCACACAAGACGTACGAGCACTGGGAGTACCTCACGGCTGGGCTCATCTCGGTGGGCGTCAGCATGTTCCTGCTCTCTTCCAACAGCGAAGAGAAGCACTCCTCAACAGTCACTACCTTCTCTGGCCTCGTCATCCTCGCTGGATACATCCTCTTCGACAGCTTCACATCTAACTGGCAAGATGCCCTCTTCAAGTACCGCATGTCTTCCGTGCAAATGATGTTTGGTGTAAATTTGTTCTCGTGTCTGCTGACGACGTGCTCTCTGCTTGAGCAAGGCGCCCTGCTTGAGGGGCTGTCGTTCATGTCGCGTCACTCCGACTTCGCATTGCACGCGCTGCTGCTGTCCATGTGCTCGGCGAGCGGACAGCTCTTCATCTTCTACACCATCAATCACTTTGGAGCTGCCATATTCACACTCATCATGACTACGCGGCAGGCCCTGGCCATTCTGCTGTCCTGCCTCATATACGGACACCACATGGGCCTGGTGGGTGTTTTCGGGGTGGGCGTAGTATTTCTTGCACTATTCCTGCGGGTATATGCACGTGGACGCCGCAAGCGTAGTGCGGCCCGCCAGCCGCTGCCCGTCGTGCAACGAGTTTAGCTTTTCTGTTTTTCAAGTGGAAGACATTCATTTGTTATTTTTTACTGGTGTAATTTACTTTCACTTCCTCTCCCCCCACCTTTGGTGTCTGGTGAAAGGTTCCTATAAGTATTGGGTAACAGTCCTGAGCTGAAACTTCTTTACTCATTGCAGAATTTAAAAAAAAGCAACCTAGATGGATGATGAACATGGCTGCTTTGGAGCTGGCAGCAATCATTACGTGGATATCCTGAGTTCCCTGATCTTATGATGTACCCTTGTTTGAAGCTCCTCCTCCTGTCTTGTTTACCCAATTTACCCTTTTTGAAGGGTACCTTTGACAGCAAAGTGGCTGTTGGGAGGAACTACAGCAAGCTTTAACTGGCAATGTTAATGGACAGATGCTGTGCTTTACTACAGCCCTGCTGTAACAAAAAATAGTCATAACGATTTCCTTTTCTTTGAGTTCTGAAAAATGTGTATTACACAAACAATAATGCTGTAGTCTCACGGGTGTATAATTGAAAGTTTAAAAATTCATTAGTTTGCCATGTTTCTCACATGTACATCCAGCCCAGGATTCGTTTTTATTCGACCATTTCCTGTTTTATAGTTAACATTTTTATTGCAAAATACTAAATTTGCTAAATAATCAGCTTTGGCAAGTGCTGTTAAAAATACTTTGCTCTTAAAATGATACGGTTTGTTTGTACTCATTTACATTTCTTTGCACATCAGTGCCTCCTAGACTATTGTATTGCCGACTGTACATTGTCACGTCCGGTTATAACTTAGAGCTAGGAAAAGCAGGCATTTAAAAACAATAACTGCACACTTGCTCATTTTGTCCAATATGCAATATTTTTGGTACTGTTTTGCTGTGTTTGGAGTGGGTGATGGTGTGGATGTTTTATCAACGTGCTTTAAACTTCCAGAGTGCTTTCGGTTCTTGTCGTGGGGAGTTGTATACATTTACTCTTCTATTTTAAAAAAAGAATACTAAGTAGAGAATGCATTGATATATTTTTAATCCCTACTGAATGTCAGTTGCTGCAAATTAATATGCACAAAATAAAACGTTGTACCAACAGAACTATTGGTGCGTAACAATGTGTGGTGGTGCTGCTGTTAACATAACCATTTCTGCAGAAGTACGTACGTTTCCACAAAGAAACCAAAAACCCACAAAATGACTGTAAAATGTGTATATCTATAATTGTATAATTAAAAGTACGTGAATGCTTTGCACACAATATGTACAGTTTAACATTTTCAACTTGACTGGGTATTATTTTGTATGAACAACTGCAAATACAGCATAATTATCAGTGCATGTAAAATAAAGGCTAGACGGTAAACCATGTCTAATTGCACACCTTTTCCACAATTGTTTCTCTCTGAAATTACGAGCCAGTGAGGCTATTTTGTCATTCTGAGTCTTTAAGTAAGTTATGAAGTCGTCTTTGCGATTTTTGTTTGTGCATGCACACCCAGTTTCCAGGGACCTGAATGTGGGACCTCTCGATCCCATCCTTGTCGTATGGGATGTGCCAGCTCTTTGTCGTTGTCTGCAAAACCGTATCGAAAGACGGCACCGTCTGCAAACACATTGCATAATTAACAAGCTTCATCTAAACGTTCAATAGTTCAAATTTTATCCACAGTTGAATTTCTATTGATTTTATTTAATGTTTAAAAAGGGATTGAGAATGTACTTGAAGCGGTTTACCTCATGTAATCGTCATACTAAAGTACAAAGAAAGAAAGAACATATATTGAGCAAAACATAAAATGCTGCTATACAAAGAGAAGATGTGCACTATGATTAGAGAATGGCCAGAGTAGAAAGACACGAGTTAGAGACATGGTCAATCATTATTACTGGATCTTCCGTAATCCGTGGGTCATACAGTATATCTACCGGTAAATGAAAAGCATTAATAGGTTACCAAGACTGGAAAGCATGTTGTATAAATTATGTCCTGTGCTTTTTGTTCAACCTTAAACCGTGCCTAATACTAACGTATACATTAAAGTTGGTTCATTTAGACAGCAGATATTTTAGACCTTGCAATTGGAAAAATACAGCCACTAATGGAAAAGTTGGCCTAAACAAACAGGCCAAGTGCTGACCTGCTCATGCAGTGACAGTTTTAGGTACCTTAAAAATGATTTGTCCCTTGGGGATGTAGGTCTCCAACACCAGCTGGTGTCCACGCTGCCACTTGCGGAAGAGGTGTCGCATATTGGGCTCTGTGAGGCGCGCGCAGTGGTCGCGTAGCAGGTCACGCGTCACGAACCAACAGTGGTTTCCGGAGTGCAGGCACGCGTAGAGCAGGAAAGGATCGTCCTTGGAACTGCAAGCATCGTGTTGAAGGGGTGGGGTGGATATGGAGAAATATTTCCTCCAGATAAATTAAAGCCCTGCATAAACTAAATGTGAATCACACTGTAGCTAACCAAATTGAATACCCAATTTCTCATGAGTTCAATTAATCAAAACAAGCCTGCATAGCTGACGGTGATGTAGCACGTAGAGGAATTGCGTTGCTTTACATGTTTTCCATTAAGAAGCAGTCTGCTTGCGTCCTCACGATATTCATGTGCTCACGAAGCCAGGAGTTAGAGTTTTTGAGCATGTGTCGCCGGCCCAGCACCAGCACCTGCTTCCCGTGTTCAGCTAGGTGAGACACCACATCCATGAGCTGCACGTGAGAAAAGCACCAGATTGGTAAATATCAGTCTTCCAGCCATTGACAACACCGCAACTCGACATGTCATTGCTGATTTACCTCGGTTTCATTTCCCATCGTTAACGTAATGTTTGTGAGTAATTGGCACAGTTATTGCATGTTAAATATCATGTGGCATGATTTAGAAGAGTAGACCCACACGAGCATGCATTTACCTTAAATCCCAAATTGTGAAAATTATAATATTGTAAATGTAAGACTTGTATACATCCCTGCAACTATTTTTACCAGCTCTATGTAAAACAGTACATCTAAATGGGCTTTAAAGAAAATAAAGCACTGCAGTTTTCAACTTATTCTCGTACAATTAGAAGATTCCTATCGGATTATTGCTACACCAATGGCAGACGCGTGTAAAATATTACACAGCAGCCAATAATAATTTAGAATAGAGCTTGTAATCCTTATGACAATGCAAGGCTTACGATCTGTGATTGAGCATATTTGCCACTGATGTGAGAGACGTTGAGGCTGTCCACCACCACGTCATAGGGACCGTTGCTGGCAATGTGCCGCTGAAAGCGTGCCAGCTCCTGGAAACGACAGTGGGAGCAGAGATTTTCATAATCTACATGTTAGCCTCAACGTGCCATTTTATTTAATTACACAACTAGTACAGTAAGGTTACAGAGTGGGCATTTATCTACAAGCCCCCTCTTGATTGAATGAATTATTACAATTTGTAGTCAATATTCGATTCAAGAATATTATTTTGTTTTGCCATATATGTTGCACCTCAAATGGCCGCAGGGTTTACGTGAACCAACTGCGACATACAGCATCTATTCTTTGATTTAAAGCTTTCGTGACTGCAGGGATTCATATTCTTGGTTCTTTCGGTAAAGTCACGTAGAAGGGAAACAATAAAATAATAAAAATATAAAACAATAAAATTATCACGACGTTTCGACTGCAACAAGCAATCATCATCAGGTGTGAAAACCACAACAAGAAAATTTGAAAAAAGTGGCGGTTATTTTTAACGTTAGCACCACGGAGAGAGATTTGACAGCATCTATTCTCTATGCTGTATAATACACGTTTACGCACATGATTCTATGCATGTATTGCATGACAGCAGTAGCAGCGCCCTATTGCTTACACGTGCCGGTGTGGAGCATGTGCGTTGCTCACAGCGGGTGTGGTCTTGCGATAGATGTCATGCCCCTTGATGACGTCGTTCATGATGCATTCCTGTAACTGCTTGTACTCGCCCTCCGTCAGATAGATCGACTCCAGGTTCTCACCGCAACTCGGACAGTGTTCTGCCCTGGCAACAACACAGCAGCTCTACCCTAGCACACTCGCAAACTCTAGCACAAGGGTAAGCAACTTACATTACTGTGGGCTCGATACTCCACCGCTACTTCATTTCATACTGCTTCAAAATGGCCCACAAACGATATTTAACCATCACTACATCTTGGTCGCACTGATCGGGTATTAAAAAGGGACAATTCAAATTGACATCTTTTTTTTAATTTAGCAGGCTCCGCATCTTCTGTCACTGCATTAGGCCTTTGAGTTATGTGTAGCCCACCAAAGGAATTTGAAAGTCCGACTTGACCGTCACTGCAAAAGCTGCTGAGCACCACACTTATGTTAGCACAGTACCAGGTGTAATCTCCAAAGATGTATGGTTTGTATTGCATGCATGTTGAATTGTCTAAATAATAATAATCATACACATCAATGTTATAAAAACCATGATTATAAAAAATAAAACATGTTTTACTTTCCTCAGGACTTTTTCAGGATATTCCTGCATTGGGAAATTTGGCCAATGCGAATGTTTGCTCAAGTGGAAGGAAACACAAAAGTACCCAAAGAAAACTCATGCAGAGCAGGGGAATAACACTCAAAACTCCACACGAATGGCATAGCTTCAGTCCAGACAGACTCAAAACGTTGAATGTATCAGATTCCTGTACGATCATTGCCCGGACACCTCCCAAACCTAACACCTGTAACACCTGGTAAGCCACCCGTGGTCTCCCATTCAATAATGGGGCTCAACATTACTAGCTTCCGAGATCTGATAATGGGAAAATTTAGGTCGATTTATTTTTATGGGAATACTTAAAACAACACACTGTGGTAGGATGTGAATGTATCTTGCTTTCCATTTCTCCTCTTTAAAGCTGAAAAACAAATACAATGACATGTATTCATATTTTTTATACATTTCATAAACATTTTTTTTGATAACTCAAAATAATTAGGTGACATTACAGCATAAGCATTCCCTCTGTAAACTTTAAAAAATGACATCCACCAGAGGTGTTGCTCATGCAAAAATTCCAGAATACAATTATGACATTCAAAGTACCCCTTAGGTGCCTGCTCATTATCGATAAACATGCACTTAACCAATGTGCACAACGCAAGCCATGCCGTGTACCTTTCAAACCAGTCGCCAATACTCCTGGCCAGCTTCTCGGAAGGAAAGGTTTGACTGTGCCGTAGGTACTGCAGAATTCCCTCCAGTTTATCCCGGTTGGTCTCGGCCAACTCTCCGCGCAGCTCAAAAAACGCCTGCAGCATCGAATCTTGTGGCAGGAGGTCCTTCTGCAGCATTTCTGCATAGAGCCGAAAAGCCAGCTCAACATCGCATCTGGCCAATGCCGCCTTTACAATGTCCGTGTAGTTCACCGCTGCAGGATGCAGGATGCTGTTCATCTCCTCCAGCAAAGCCAAGCTTTCTCGCCAGCGCTCCGTCATGCACAGCCCGCGGATGGCGAAGGTATACGCCGTGTCCTCGAGGATGGAGTAACGATCACGCATGATTTTGTACACATCCAGAAACTCGGATCCGTTCTGGTTGGCCACGCACAAGCGAAGGTACGGTAGCAGCATGCCGTAGGAAACGTCACCACTCTCCAGCGCCACGAAGTTAAGCAGCGACTTGGCAATGTCCAGGTCTCCGCGGGTCTCAATTAGTTTTTCAATGACTATGGACTCAAACCTGTGGAGTAACGCATAACATGCGGTGTTAGTCAACCTTGCATGGTAACCTTGTTTAAAGGGGGGACATTACAATCTCAGGATGGGGGGTAAGTGCATACAAGTGACTCTAAAGCAAACTTTCACAAATGTTAAAGGCAAAACACGCTTCTCTCTAATCGACCCTGCTGCCACAGGGCCAGTGAGGAGTATACACTCACACATGCTATGCAAGAGCATGTCTGTATATGCTAATGTGCAGTAAATATTTTAATGGAATATTAAAAATGGAAAGTTAACTATATTGGTTATGCTACGGCTACACCTAACACAAATTAATGTCTCAGTGGGTTAACAGAAGCTGACCGTTAACCCAGTGACTTGGATTCTCGTCCCGGCATCAAACTAATGTCAGTGGTGATAGATCCTGGGCCTTTCTTCTTCACCAACTTTCACGATCGTCATTTAAAGAACCCTCTGCACTAACGCATTTTGAAGACTCTCATCAAGCAGTGAATTGATGAAGGGGTCCATATTTTTAAGGGAGACAGTTTTCGTTGTGGTTGTGCTATCTAGATAAGTCATCAACAAGTAAACGTGGAAAATCCACGACTAGCTCAGGTTAGCCAACAGTTGTGAGTGGTGCAGTAGGTATTTGAGTATGGGGCCGCCTTGACTTTTATTTCCCCCCGACTCTTCATGTAAACACAGCAATGTGACACACTGCATCATATTACCTACTATAATCACCCAGAAATGTCTGTCTGTCCCGCACGTGACGTCACTCCACATGAGGCCCACCCCCCGTGTGACGTCACTCCACATGGATTTTTACACGAACGCACAAGGTCGCGCACGCTACATGTTGCACCCCTCCCTTCATTAATGAGTGGGTGACGTCACTCCACATGCCACACCCCTCCACAATAACCATTAGCGGGTGACGTCACTCCACATGGGACACCCCCCCCCCCCTCAATAATCATGAGCTGAACAATTTTTCTAATGAATATTTCAGATTCTTAGCTCTTTCGGTAAAGTCACGTTGAAGGGAAACAATAAAATATTAAAATATATATGAAACAATAAAAATTCTCACGCCGTTTCGACCATAACACAAACGGTCGTCATCAGGTGTGTCGGTTTGCATTAATGTATTGATTTTTAAACGGCATATTTATTTATTTATGAAAAACGTTAGCACCACGCGCAGCGATTCGTCAGTTTATTTAGAAGGACTAGTCCATCTATGTTCTGAAAAGAGAAGGGGGGAGACGAAAAATTAATGTATGCTGTCTGAAAGCCACTGTAAGCGTGAACAATCAATTAAGACCTGAAATGGTTTATCAAATCTTTCCAATGATTGCTAAGCCAGAATCCATGTTCTCGGTTGAAATTGTCTCTGTGCTTGTAAATGTGGATAGCCTCATGAACGAATCTCTCATGGTAGCCAGATGGTTTACAAAGAACCTCTGTCTTGGAAAAGTCAATGTCATGTGAGCCTACTGAATTATAACAATGATCTGCCACGGCCGAGGTGTTGGTCCTACCGTGTTTAAGGTCTGCTTTGTGTTCACGAATGCGGTCCGAGACATGGCGTTTGGTTTCTAACAATGTAACTACTACCACAGTAGTTTCATATATATACTTTCAGATTTACTGCAATATACACCCGTCCTTGGACGGGCAAAAAAGCTAGTACCTACTATAATCACACAGGAATGTCTGTCCTTAACGCTCGTGACGTCACTCCACATTGGCCAGCCCCCCTTATTAATATTCATGAGCAGGTGACGTCCTCCAAATGGACACCCCCCACCCCTCATTAATGATCATGAGCGGGTGACGTCACTCAATATGGAGTAATCCCCCCTCACTAATAATGAGCAAGTGACGTCACTCCACATCAAACAGCCCCCCTCATTAATATTCATGAGCAAGTGACGTCTTCCAAATGGACACCCCCCCCCCCATTCGTTTACCTACTATGAGCCAGGAATGTCTGTGTGCAACGCTCGTGACGTCACTCCACGTAGACCAGCCCCCCTAATTAATAATCATGAACGTAGACCAGCCCCCTTAATTAATAATCATGAATAGATTTTGATTTAAAGCTTTCGTGACTGCAGGGATTCATATTCTTGGTTCTTTCGGTAAAATCACCACGTAGAAGGGAAACAATAAAATAATAACGAATGTATGCAATATCACGTCGCAGTCTGCTTTTCGCTTGCAAGTTTAAGATTTACTGCAATACAGCCGTCCTTGGCCAGGCGAAAGGCTAGTCCTGTATATTTGTTAACAGTACACAGAGAGCGTGTTTCAGTGTCTCTCTGGGCTTTGCTATCATTCTAAAAAATAACACATGGGGTGGCATGTTTGTATGCATTTTTGGCGAATTATTTGGCGTTTAGTTTAATTGGTAACATTTTTTGTAATCATAAAAAATAGAATCCTGCCAACAGGGTCATGTCATGAACAATGTGGCTCATATATATAAAAAACTAATGTAATAAGAAGTGTCATAAATACATTTTGAACTCTCACATCACCCCGAGATAGAAAACTTACCTGAAAGATGAATTACATAACAACTTCCAAGGTCCTTAAATTGCCTATCTGCACTTGCGACACGTGTATGCATCACCTGGATAGTGCCCATCACATATCATCAATTAAACCAAATATTTAAACCCTCAAAAGTTTGGATAAGCCAAATTAAGTGACACACCAAATGTAAGTACAGGAAGAGTGGTTTGTTCAGTCATGGATGACCAGACTGTGACCATCATCTCCTACACTCTATAACCACGTGTAGAAAGCAGCACTGACATATACCAACGGGAGCGGCTCAGTATTTCTGACATCGCCGTGATGAACCCCCTGGCCCACCGGGTCACCCATCAGCCCAGCAACATCTCCCCAGGCAAGACCAACCTTGGGTTGTTGGCCTCTTTCTTCAGGGCTGCCCAATCCGCTGGGCTCAGAGGTTGGTCCGGTGCCTCTACCGTAGACCTCTGGTATTGCTGCTTTTGCTGATCTTGCTTCGTCCACTGTGGGTCTTCCTGCTGCTGATATTTCTGCTGCTGCTGTTGCTCGCGTCCACCAGGCGTCTGCGGCGAGACGGCGTTGGCAATGAACTGTCCCTTCTTCTTCTTCTTCTCCTCCTCAATGGGCCTCACCACGTTCGTGAAGAACGACTGCTTGGCTTTGCCTGCCCGCGGCGGGGTGCAGTCGCCCCTGGCCGGCACCACGGAGCCGCACGGGGAGGCGACGGCCGCGTGGCTGCCCGGACCTCGGGGCCACAGCCGGCGTAGGGCGCGGAGGGAGAGGCCCTGTGCCCGCCACGCCATGCCGTGGCGAGGAGAGACGGCGAGATGCAGCACCGAGAGACCAGAGCCTCGGGGAATCCAACAATTAACCCCGGGCAATCCACGGGACGGGTAGGGCCGGGCGAGTCCGACCGCCGATAATGGAAACGCGTGGCGGCACTTGGCAGGGGGAGACCGCCGAGTTTGGGGCGATTTGCGAGAGAAAAGTGTTTACTTAAAAACTGGGGTGAAGGAAGAGACGAGAGGTCTCATCCGAGTAGGTGCAGTGGCAGCAGTGGCAGCAGCAGCAGCGAACAACACGTGGTGGACCCGCGGGTGGCGCCGAGATGCATTGTGGGTCTCTTAAAGGGATGCCGGACGTTTCGGGATCTTAAAGGAACCCGTCACGGGCGGGGCGGGGGTGGGGGCGGTCTTAAAAGGATCAATGTTTATGGCCCTTATAAGCGTTCTACCTATCCTATTGGAGGCTCTCAACCGAACCAGTCCCTTCTCTGGTGCTCTGTAAGCAGCCTGGTGCCTGTGTTGAGTTCTGCTCTGTTTAGACATTTGGCGGCGCTGGTGCACAAGCGAAGTCAACCAACAAACTCAACAAGTTCGTCAAAAAACACATCCCTGTCAACCCATACTGTTTACCCGTATTCTTGTACAGGGAAATTTAGTTTTCACGTCCATACGGCGTACAGCCGTTTCAATACGGGCAAAAAAATGTGTTTTGTGTTTCTCTGTTGTGATGGAACTTTGTAGGATGAACTTTGAGATTTATAAGGGCACGGGGTGACCAATAAGGTCTGAATTGGTCTGTAATAAGGAACTGATAAGGGGTTAACCGGAATGAAAAAGACTGTTTCTGATCCTAAAGGAGTCTTACCCTAATTGGCGCTCTTAAGGAAAACCTTCCCCCTGTTCTGCGTGTTTCAGTCCCCGAGTTTTGAATGTTATTTAACCAGGAAAGTTTCACAGAGATTTAAGACCTCCATTTCCAGGAGGATCCTACATTGGTATGTTTGGCCAATTCCATGACTGTTTGGCTTTATATAGGAGGCCGAAGAACCCACAGAAATCCCACACATCTGAGGGAATAACATTCAAAGCTTCGCACAATTCTTAGTTGTGTAACCATCAGCCACTCTCAATTGTCTCGATTCGTGATTAAGTAAGCTGTCTCGTGGCTGCCGCGTTTATATTAACAATTACATAGAACTATCATGAATAAAATATATTGCACATGTATAATGCGATAGACGTATCATAGGTGTGAATAAATATAACAATTACGGTAAGTTTCATGGCTAATGGTACGTTTTTAATAGTTGCCCTGCCATCTCCTGGCCACCTCCCAGCCCAGTGGATTTGTAAGTCTCCCATGTCATATTGAACCACCAAACCTTGCCTCCAAAGCACAAATGTAAGGAGTGTGCCATTATACTTGGCTCATAGTTAAACTTTTAGGACAATACAATATTGTATACAATCTGTACATGAGCATGAACGGGCACTGTTTACACTGGCAAAAAGAGAATCGCTTTATTTAACAAATGTACTGTTTAAAACATTCCAATAACAGCAAGAGTATTAAGGCATAGATGCCTGAGCAGAAACACTCAAATGAAAATCAGCGCCAAAGCTGTACTCAGTACATCAACCTCAGGAAAATCTAAGCCACACACGGGTCAGTTATTATTTAGTAAAATTATGTAATTCAATTAACAGATTAAAGTAATTGACGTTAACCAAGTTTTGAAGCAGTAAAACGACTGGAATGCACATTTTGACAGGCTTGTAATTGACCATTCCTGCTAATAATTGACTGCATTATCAATTAAGCATTAATTACAAAACTAACAAATACAAAAACCATTAGACACTATAACCAACACATTGAATAAGCACAAATAAATCTTATTAAACAAGGGATTAAAATATTCCAACAACGGAAAGTTCCTGATTTTTATTGATCTATGCAACATGTAACAGCAGGAATTTCGACATCAGGAAAAGAGCATAATACTGTACTGTACATAAGCATGGGCAAGAGCCCAAATCATTAAGGTCTGCTGGAATCGCTCCCTGCTGACGAGACTGGATGAATATTTTCATCATCTCGAACTGATGATATTCCAACTGTCAAGAACGAAAACAGACATAGGACATTAAAATAAAACCTTGACAAAAACATTTGACACTTGTACTAACTTTGATGATATAGTAAATAGCATTCATTTAAAGTTATCAAATAAGATTAATAAGATCTGTAACTGTGTACATTATGTAAATTATAGTAATAGATATAAACAGAGAAAATATAGACCATATGAATCATGTAAAGTAATAATGCTTTTGCTGCATTTTACTTGCCTTCATCAGGAGGGTGCAGGCCAGGGGGAATTTGCCCACTCTGTGGTGGTTCCAGGTATGTTGGAAGCCCATAAGGTCCTCTAGGAGGTGGTGGTCCATAAAGTCTAACAGGTGGACCGGAGCTGAAGAATGGTGGTGGGCCAAAGTGTCGAAGTGGCATCATGTTGTAAGGCCCTCTTGGTGGAGGTGGCCCTGCCATAGGATTCATCAACGGTGGAAGTGAGGGATACATCTCCGCATGAGGAGGAAAATCTCTTGGTGGTACCCGTGCCAGATGAGGGGCGAAGGGGTGAAACATCGGTTGAGGTCGGTAATAATGGTGTGCTTCTCTAGACTGCAGTGCATCTGGGGGAGGAAACTGTGGCCTATGAAGGCCAAGTTCAAAATGTTGACCCTGGCCTGGTCCATGGTTGTAGTAGTCTCTTGGAGGAAGCCCCCAGCGAAGCAAAGGTGAAGTGCGAGACGATAAGACTTCAGGAACTTCTTTTCCATCAACCTCATCATTTGTGACTTTGTCCTGAAAAACCAGTCATCAAAATGGTTTTATCACCATTTTAATTTCATATTTTGCATGACATTGTAAACTAGAAAACTGTTATGGCATTCTAGCTGCAACTATCTACTAAAAGAACCAAATAACCACGTTTAATTGCTTTCATGCATTAAATTATCAAATAAAAACTAATTTCGTATAATTTACACATTAATTCCAGACCTGATGATGACATCATCATCACTAAATAATAATGCAATGCAATTTAAATGTAAATATGAAGATTGCATTGCAATTTTTTTTTTAATATACACGTTTCTCAGACTGCAGTTGCTGCCCATTTTGGGCATGTGCTCAGCTACTGTGATAAAAACACTTTTCAAAAACTACTGCCATTACAATAAAAATACTTAAAAACTTACCAGAGAATCATTTCCATCATTGATTGAATGATAGTTATTTGATTCAGATTCTGGCAATTCATTTGCAGGTTCATAACCTAGGAGGAAAACTCACACTTAGAAACAAGCCTGTCTCAATGAATATCTATGAAATAAAACTAAGGGATGACATTAAACAGATAATGCAGCAGCAAGTGCAATACACATTAACCTCAATATAACACGACTACATTTAGCCAAAGTGCAAATTTAAAGTAAAAAATATTAAATTTTGATTTAAAGCTTTCGTGACTGCGGGGATTCATATTCTTGGTTCTTTCGGTAAAGTCACGTAGAAGGGAAACAATAAAATAATAAAAATATATAAAACAATTTTATATATTTTTATTAAACAATTTTATTGTTTTATATTTTTAGTATTTTATTGTTTCCCTTCTACGTGACTTTACCGAAAGAACCAAGAATATAAAAAATATTATCCAATTAAAGAATGTGCCAATTCATCCCATAAACGGTCAGGTTAACTTCAGTCAAACAGTATTGTTTTTTTTTTTAAATAACTCCTCTGCACAATAAGCTGTGATTACCTGGGTGAGGGGATGGAAATCGTTTGTCATAGTTCAATGGAGTCCTCTCAGGTCCATAGCCAGGTAAACCTCTGTACACTGTAAACGATGCATGCTGTATGTTAAATACTTCTTTGAAAACAATATCAACATGAACATATAATGCACAAATAAAGCCCTTTGTAAGTTTCACTGCTGGATGAGGGCCTCCCGGTTATTTGACAATACTTCACCATGCTCATCCGTGCATGTTCATGAGGGTTCAGAAAGCATAAACGTTGAAGTATAATACACACACCAACGAATATTGCTACACTGCATTTTGCTGACATTTACCTGCAGCAGCCTAACACACCTTTATGCGTGGTGATGGTCACCCATTCCAGCACCATCAAGGATCAACCCTGCTAAGTTTCCAATATCTGACAAGAAGATTCGGTCACGGCCAACTGTAATTTTGTTTTATTATAAAGCCATGATCGTCACGATACTGGCTCTATAATAAGGATGACCAGAGGTGTCAATAAAAATACACGTATTTTTATACCTTTTTTTCAATACAAAAATTAAACCACAAACATTGCAATGTCATCTATTTAGCGGCTGCAATAACAGGACGCTGGCACTTGCCCAGACAGGCAGCCTCACCCAGCGGGGCGGAGGGGGCGCGGCGAGGTTCGTCCGTCAGGCGTGGCGGCGACGGAGGGACGCTCACAGGGGACACTGTGAACGGAGTTCCCACGAGCGAAGACCCTGCACGGCCCAACAGAAGCACAGAGCCGCTTTTGATACTCTTTTGTGCTTATCAGTTTGGTAAATAATACCATAGAACAACCCAATAGCGTGGCCATGTTAAAACAGGAGGCATGCAAAAATGCAGAGGGTTGGAGGGGTATGATACAGGCAAGTTAAAGAGAATGGCTCTATACGATCTGCTTTTGTCTATTGTGCCTTCTACTCTCGCATTTACCCCCCTATGTATAGGAGCAAAGGCTGCGATGACCATCGCTTACTTGAATTACAAGAGTTTTGTTTAGCCTTAGGCAGCCCCCTCCAGCTACCCACCCCACACCCCCGATGCTAGAGGGCTGCCTGCCTTGAAATCACCACAAGTGTAAATAAAATGCAAAATAAACAGGATCGTAGCAGACAGACGCACCCCCGACTGCCAACCCCTGCGGCGTGGACGAGCTGCGCGGAACTCCGTGGTTCTGTGGTGGCATCTCCTGAGCTTCTGCCAAATCCATATTATATTCCAGTTCCACCATCCTTTAAAGATACAGATAGGCAGAAACTATATTAGCTCACACATATGCAAAGAGATTATCTAAGAAACCGAATGCTAGGGATTAACGCTGTATGACAGCCATTATATCTGCATGTGATACGTTGCAAAAAAGTGATATGACAAGCACTCATCAGGATGTGAATGGTTTCAATTACCTCTGCTTGAGATTGGCCACCTCCTGCCTGGATGCCTTCAAATCCCTCTCTACGGACCGAGTTTTCAGCTACAAAAATAAGCATGCATTGTATGTTAGCAAATTAAAATGATTCACCACTCCCCTTGCGAATACAGAGACTTAGTGGTTTCTATTATCCATTCATTACCTATTTTCCATGAAGGTAACAATTTGCATTAACATTTTTCATAATATTAATTTCATTATTTTTATGACAGAAATAAAAAGTTGTAGCAGTGATAACATTTATGTACCCAAGTTGGCAACAACAATAGATAAAAAAACCTACCCAGTTTTCATAAGCTTTCTTTTCAAACTCAGCCATCTGTGCATTAAAAAACATGAATTTCAGCACCATGGAGAAAACAACAAGGATCTTAAAATGATTTCAATTATATCAAGACAGTGTTCAAATTAAAACACTTCATGTGCATACCTGTTCCCGGAATCCACACTCAACCTTCTCTAGCTCCTCACGGAGCGTCTGAACTTGTTTCCTTTGGAAAAAAATGATCACAACGTGGAATCATTGAATTTTACGTCACTGGAAAGCAAAAGTACAGAAATGAGACATGTAAGATAGGGGTATATGTCAGCCCTACTTGTTAGTGCTGGCTTCCTCCATGGCCTGCTGGGCCCTCTCGTTCATATGTTCTGGAGAAGTCTCCGATAGATCGCGTGCCTGTTGCTCAACAAAGAGTTTCCTGTTGGCAAGATCAGATGCGGCGACCATAAACAGTCAGCCCACAACTGCACCAGAATATATTGGAATTTGCAAATTCAAGTCAAAAATAGTTTTGAGAAACTGGACAAAAATTGACCAATCCACATAAATATGTTTGAGCCAGCAAATAAACTAATTGCATAAGCTTACAATATATACTTATAGAGAACCAGGCATTACTTAAGTGAAAAATAAATATTCACATTGTTTTTAGATACTGTTCACAACAAAAACCTTTAAAACTTCACAAGGATCGATTTTGTGATAAAAATTATACAAATATAGAGGTTTAAGCGACATTTAAAATCTATATGCATTATCATGTTATGCTTACTTCTGCAGAGTGCTTTCCTTTTCCTGATACATTTCTTTCACAATTTCTAGCTTCTTCCTGCAGAAGTCCAGTTCATTTTTCAAATGACTGCTCTCCGAGAACAATTCTGTGTTTTTCTTCTCACGCTCTTGAATCACACCTGTGGGTGAAAAATGTGTTGAACATCAATATTTAGCACTATATATTGTTATGCCATCCCAAAGTCAACATTTTCCTACCCCACTTATGATAATCAAGATCCATCTCTGAGCTGATGTGAAAATTGCACTGGTGACAGCACAGAGATGGGCTGTGTTTGCAAAGTCTCTCCACGGCATATGTGACATTCATTTGGATGCTCAACAACTGTAATTAGAGGCTGTGCTGTTCGTGAATTTGCTCGAAGGCAAATCCACAATTATGTGTTTTATCACTTTATAATACAGTAAGTGCAGGGACAAGTGTGGAGAAGTTTGGTGAAGCAACCTCCATAACCCACGTGATGTGGAACGGATTTCATCCAGGAGTGGATTGATAAAGGGCTGTACACATGTACAAAGTAAAGTTGAGACAATTTAATACAAATCACTCCACCTTGCAATTTGTTATTTTCTTCAAGTTGATTAGAGTATCTAGTTTTTAAGTCTGCTATTTCCTCTTCGGTGACTTCAAGGGTTGCTTGGAGCTGCAACATATATTTTCATACCAAATTATGAATACATCTTTAAAAATATATAAACGTACAATATAACATCATGCAACAATGTATTTCATGTAAAATATTTGTAATAATTATGGCCTGGTAGTATTTTAATAATGTATGCATTTTATATAAGTACAGTGTGAATAGGCATGTGGAGATGTATTCATTACATTTTTTTTAAATTTTAAAATAATTGAATGATACATGCATTGAATAGTGCATAAGAAATCATTTTAGATTTGTATGCATCCATTAGAGGTGCTACATTTATTATTTAAATCAAAACTCCATCACATAATTAATCAAATCATGAGGAGTGCGAATTATTACACAGCTAAATGTGACTGCAACGTCTTTGCTTTATTCATCAAGAGATTTTAATCATCTTAAATATCCAAAATACCTTTTCCACATCCAGTAGATCACGCAGCTTTAGCTTTTGTACATGACTATGGGAGTCTAAAAAATAAAACAAATAGAACGACAATGTGTATCAATGTTTTAAACCAAAACGGGAAGAACATTGGTTTCAAAGCCTTTACAGGTGTTTTGCAACAAAATTAAATATTTAACGTCAATAGTCCAACCACTTAGTTCTCCATTCTCAACCAGTCTCCGCTCTCCCCCTTGTTCAGAAGGCAAAGTGAACTGCCTTATCTCATTCAGGAAGTTTGCCATCACCTGCAAGCACACCAGATAGTAAAGTATAATTAATCACCCCGAATCTGTGCAGCATCATAATCATCGTCTTAAATACACAATAATATTATGAATTCCAAATGTTTTAACAAATCTTCGTATTTGTACAGTTCATTCATACAAAAAATGATTTCTTAATGTAAAAGTATTTATGAAGGATTATTGCCCATACCTCCATTTCCTCTTCCTTGCAAGCCAGTGTTGCCATCATCTCCTCCTTATACTGTCTTTTCTGCTCCAATTGTTCTTGCAGCTCAGAAGACTGCACCCGACAGTTTTCTGTTTCTCTGTCAGTCTGCCATCAAAGAAACAAGCCAAAGAGAACGCTCAAAAGTAGCTTGTAGCAATGACCACCTCACGTAAAATCAACATTGAACTTCCAACCTTGCTGGAACAGTGTTTATATCGATACCTAACTCTGGCATGATATCCATGATGTGGTACACCCACAGAGATATATAGCATAACCGTAATAAACCGACGTAGTATTATGTGTATACCTGCTCAGTACTGTCCCTGAGCTGTTGATGTGTCCTCTGCATAGCCTGGAGTTCAGTCTGTAACTTATTTTCAGCAGCATGGCTTGCGTCCACCTTTGGCATGAGCTGTTCGGGTAATCAAATGCCATCCATCAATAAAAAAAAACCCGTTCCTGTACAAAGGAAAGTGTGAGACTTTATATGTCCTTTGCATTATTCTAGTAAAACAGACTCGTGTATGACATGCCCTACCTGCTTCATTTGAGCCTCCAGCAATGCCTTAGTGGTCTCCAGCATCTCCATGTTATGCTTCATCTCATACAACTGAACACACATTATAAAGTATTATTAAGCAATGATACATTCAAATAACTAAACTCAACACAGCAAGTCAAATAAAAAAAATTCCAGTTAGTCAAATTTGACATGCATGGTAAGGCTGTGTAATTGCTATGCAGCCAAGTATTTTTTGTTGTAAAATGTGCACTAATACTAGTCTGTGATTCAGTCTGTACATGATATCATGGCTTAATATTAAAAATAATTTAGTCATGGTCATAGGAACCTTATGGCGAGACCCTGGGGTCCCATAAGCCCCCTGCTCTCACATACACTGCGCTGCAACGTCATTTTATGTCTGTTGTAGGCGAACGACACGGCAATCTATTTCCTCTCGACCAGCTATACACGATGCACTAATCAAACTTTCAAAGTTTTGTTTATGACTACAGCTGAGATTGGGCGACATGACAACAGAATGATCCGCGCCAGGTGGGACGCGGCGTTTATATGTGCGGTTCAGTTTCAGTTTATTTATTTTGGTATAGCCCTGTGAGCCATTGGCTCTTGAATCGGGTGCAACCACAACAAACAAAAACACGAACAAGAAAACATCTTAAAGTGACTATGTGACTTTGCAAACAGAAAATCCATGAAAAAAACCAGCAAAATATTGATGAAAAAAGCACCGTACACCAACGCTGTGTGCAAAAAATCCCAGTGGGATGCAAATCAAACAACAACAGCCACAAGAAAACTTAGATTAAGGCTATCAGTCGAACACCGTACTACAACAAAACAAACATGTCCAAACCAAAAAACTTTTCGAAATCGCCAAAAAATAAAGCCATAATTGCAACGTAACAGTGATCATAGGGACTGTGACCGAATTTTTACAATAAACTACATAAATAACATGTAACACCAAATCGTAGAGCCATAGCTGGCTGCATGAGTTACTCCACAACAAGACGCATCAGTCGGAGTATCACATTTTTCAATGCACCTTTAAGATCAACACGCTAAATCAAAATACAGATAATACTTTGCAGCGTCATCCGGAGCGAAACATTTTATTGTATTTTACGCCAATGAATAGCAGTGGCAGCTAGGGGTGTACAACTCCTCTAGAGCAGTTTTGAGAGATCTCATTGGTAGTGATTCAAGTTGCAGTTTATTGGCAATAGCATTCCAGACTCTGGGGGCATCAATAGCAAAGGCCCTTCCTCCAGTTTTGTACGGCAATAGGGAATGTGAAGCTGGTAAATGAGCGAAGACCTGAGGTCAAATTTGCTCTTTGAAACTGAAAGGAGATCCAGCAGGTAGTCTGCGGATTTTTTTGTAAGTACATCGTGCACAAGCCGTCGAACATTAAGAGATGTTAAGTTTGACCCAATGTAGAGATCACAGTGGTGAGTCCTATATGGGCAGTTCAATGTAAATTTTAAGGCCGAGTGATAGATGGAATCAAGCTTCTTCAGTACAGTACTTGGGGCTGATTTATACACGATGTCACAGTAGTCAAGTAGAGGCAGTATGGTAGCTTTTATAAATTCCAAACGGAACATTGGGGGGAGGCAGTGCTTGTGTCGATACAGAAAACCAATTTTGATTTTTGTTTTTTTTACCAATATAATCAATGTAATCTTCAAAATTCAGTTTTGAATCCAGGATGACCCCAAGATACTTATAGATCTTGACTTGCTCTATTTGATCATTATTTAAGGAATGTAATTGGGGAAAAATAACTTCCTGCTTTAGTCCTGGTGAGAAGCATAGCACCTTGGTTTGTGATGTATTCAGGACTAGTTTAAGAGCAACTAGCTGATGTTCTAGTTTGTTGAAATCACCCTGTAGCTTATCAATCACGCCATCCGGACAGCGGCCAGGAGTAATCAGTATCGTGTCATTTGCAAAAAGATTTACCCTGGAATGATCCAGGTCAGTGCCCAAGTCATTGACATAAAGATAGAACAAAAGGAGGCCGAGGATGGAACCCTGTGGAACCCCTTTTGTTATCTTAACACTGTTTGACCTCCAAACATCTGTGAATACAGTTTGGGTGCGAGAAAAGAGGTAATTTTGTAACCATTTTACTGCGTTTTCGGAAAAACCGAGGCAACTTAGTTTACTAAGCAGGGTGTTGTGGTCTACTGTATCAAAAGCTTTGGACAGGTCTAGAAAAAGACAGGCACAGTACTGCTTATTATCAAGGCTACTGTAAATGTGATTCAGTCTAATGCAGCAGATGTGGTGCTGTATTTTTTCCGGAACCCAGATTGTTTTAGATGTAGTAGATTGTTGGTGGACAGGAAACTGCTAATTTGGAAGGTCAATAATTTTTCAAAAATTTTAATCAACGGGGACAAAATTGAGATAGGTCGGTAGTTATTTGGATCATCTTTAGGGCCCCCTTTGTGAAGTGGACGGACATAGGAATGCTTCCATTCTAGAGGAACTGGTGCTGCTTTGATGGACAGGTTGAAAATATGGGCTATGGGTTTGTATATTAGGTGACCAACAGTTAGTAGAGCAAAGACGGGAATACTATCTGCTCCAGTAGAGGAGGACCCTTTGAGGTAGGACAGTTGTTTCAGAACATTACTTTCGTGGATTGGCTGGAAACTAAATTTGTTTAATGTTTGGACAGGGGTGTAGGAATTTGCATGAGCAGGGGTGACTCCCAACACATTATCACAAAGATTACCAGCTTCAGAAAAATGAAGGTTAAAATTGTCAACTATTTTTTTAGGATCTGAAAAATATTCCCCATCTCGGTTAAGCTCAATGGGCAGATTGTCTGTTTTGGATGCCTTTTCGATACATTTGATTGTTTTCCAGAAAATCCTGGCATTTCCATGTGATTCCAGGAGAGTGGAGGAAAAGAAGGCAATTTTTTGCATGCTGTATTTTTTTGGCACATCTATTCCTTAAAATCCTGTATTCTAGCCAGTTATTGACCAAATTACTTTTCTGAGCACATGCCCAAGCCTTGTCCCTAGTTTTCATGAGCTTTGTAATCAAAGGATCAAACCATGGTGGGCGGTTGCCTTTAGTTTTAAATCTAACCAACGGAGCATGTTAGTTAAGAATTTGGAGAAACGTATACCTGAAGGTCTCCCAAGCCGTAGTCAGGTTGGGGATATCACAGACCTTGTCAATATCCGAGTGAAGCATATCATTAGTAAATGCCTGAGTGCTGAAGTGTCTCAGAGTACTTCTCAACCAATTTAGGGGGGGCTTTGGGTCTGGCTGATGATCTCACCCCAAAAATGAAGGAGTGATCACTAAGGTTATTACCCAGAACACCAGTCGGTGTGAAATTGTGAGGAGCTGGCTTACACGAAATTGATTTCTCTAAAACGATGCTACTTTGTAAGCCTACTGGCTATCAACAAAGATATGTTCATGAAGCCATCCACATATATAGACACACACACAATTTCAACTGAGAAGATGGTTACAAACTCAGCAATCATTGGAAAGATGTCATCAAGCACTTTCGGTCATGACTTGATTTGTAATTTCTTGTCAACCTCCACGATCAGCAGTGTGGATGTGTGGAGTAAGGTGCAATGCCCCCCATCTCTACCCTCCCTCTCTCCCCCTGTCTTCTCCTGCATTAGCCGTGGCTGCCCCGCCCATGCTGCTGACACACTCAGGCGGCGCCACGTGCACTATTAATTAGGCCTCATTCAGGCTGCGCCAGGTGGACGATTAACCAGGCCTCACTCAGGCTGTGCCAGGTGCACGATTTACTCGGCCTCACTCAGGCTGTCATGTGCAGTACTACCTAGGCCTCACTTAGGCTGCGCCAGGTGCACGATCAGCTAGGCCTCACTCAGGCTGTGCCACGTGCACTATTAACTAGGCCTCACTCAGGCTGCGCCAGGTGTACGATTAACTAGGCCTCACTCAGGCTGCGCCAGGTGCACGATCAGCCAGGCCTCACTCAGGCTACGCCAAGTGCACGATTTACTCAGCCTCACTCAGGCTGTGTCATGTGCAGTATTACCTAGGCCTCACTCAGGCTGCGCCAGGTGCATGATTAACTAGGCCTCACTCACGCTGCTCCAGGTGCACTATTAGCTAGGCCTCACTCAGGCTGCGCCAGGCGCACTATCTAGTTAGGCCTCACTCAGGCTGCGCCAGGTGCATGATCAGCTAGGCCTCACTCAGGCAGTGTCATGTGCACGACCAACCAGGCCCCACCCAGGCCGCACCAGGTGCACGATCAACCAGGCCTTACTCACTCAGGCTGCGCCAGGTACACACACGAGCGCACATCACCACACCATCACACACACGAGCGCACATCACCACACTATCACACACACACACGAGCGCACATCACCACACCATCACACACACACACACACGAGTGCACATCACCAAACCATCTCACACACACAGAGTGCACATCACCACACCATCACACACATACAGAGTGCACACCACCACACTATCACACACACACACAGAGTGCACATCACCACACCATCTCACACACACAGAGTGCACATCACCACACCATCACACACGAACGCAGAAGTCCCTCTCGTCACGGCCACTCTCACACGGCTCACCCTCACACGGCTCACTCACACACACGGCTCACTCACACACACTCAGCTCACACACAGCTCATTCTCACTCACATTTTCACATATTCTCACACAGTTTACACTCACGAAAAACAACTCACAAAAACAAGTCACACGCTGCTACACACGCCGCCGCCGCCGCCATCGTGTTGTCCAGGCGGCGGTAGAGAGGTCCGGAGAGAGCAGCAGAAGCATCGCGTGTGGGGAGCAGCTGAGAGGAGTGCATCCGAGCTGTGTATAAATGGTGGTGGTATTAGTGGTGGTGGGGTTTGTTAGTGATGGTGGGGTTTGTTAGTGGTGGTGGGGTTGTTAGTGGTGGTGGGGTTGTTAGTGGTGGTGGGGTTATTAGTGGTGGTGGGGTTATTAGTGGTGGGGTTGTTATTGGTGGTGGCGTTGTTAGTGGTGTCGTTGTTAGTGGTGGTGGTGTTAGTGGTGGGATTGTTGTTAGTGGTGGTGTTGGTGGTGTTAGTGGTGTTAGTAGTGATCTGTTAAGGCTATATACGGGGAAGCTTTGTCTTTGGAGTGGGACGGAGTTGTTAACATTTTTTAAAATTTAATTACGATTTTGACTTCCGTTTATTCGGGACACCGGGGTCCCGCCATAAGGTTCATATGCTGTAAGGAATCTATTCTTTAAAGTGTATAATTTTGTTTAGTTTGCAAACCCGATCAAGAAAACATCAAGGCTAAAGCCAATAATGCCACCACCCCTCCCCAATGTTTTCTACCCTCTACCAGATCCAACAACTAGTAAACAGAAGACATGCAACCTCAAAAATCTGCTCTAAAAGTATCCCACCATCTGGCCTTAGGTCTTTCCCTTGGTCACAAGAATTGAAAAGACCATTCCAATTCAAATTACAATATAATCAATGTTCCTCTTCATCTTCCTGTAATCCAGTGCTGATGCCCTGTGAACTCACCTTTTCCTTATGATATGCTCCTTCTTGTCTTACTGCTGCAAGGTCTTCCATAAGAGCCTCACTAGCTTGTGCTAGTTGGAGCAGTTCTTGTTCTATTCTTCTACAGACGGCCTAAAAAAAATTTACAAAAAAATATGAGGCTTAGAGGTTCAAATTGTATCACAAATGGAAGCATCCAGCTAACTGGCCTTGTCACCCCAGGCAGCGCCAGATAGAGATGGATACATGCCTCTTTGCTCCGCTGGCATGGAACTGCTGCAGCTGCAATTGACCTGCTCATGCCAGTCGGGTAAAATAGTAGTTTTGTATCACCACCCATGTACATGTAACCACACAAAATAAGCCATCACCCCAACCGTGAGGAAGGAACCATCTGAAGATCCAATCGAAACCATCACCTTGCCATACATAGCAGGGGTAACCAAAAATATTTCCAAAATAATGAACAAACACAACATCCAGGTCCAATTTAACACAGTACATACAATTTGTGATCTGATCCCATCTGTGAAGGACAAGATTCCTGACATGCAATATCCCGGTGTCTACAAACTAAGCTGTATCTGCGGCAGCAGTTACATTGGGGAAACTAAGCGACATGTCTCGGACCGTGTTCGTGAACATAAGGCAGATTTGAAACACGGTCGGACCAATACTTCTGCCGTAGCTGATTATTATTTTAATGCAGCTGGCTTACACGACATTGATTTCTCTAAAACGATGGTACTTTGTAAGCCTACTGGCTATCAACAAAGATTTGTTCATGAAGCTATCAACATATATAGACACAGACACAATTTCAACTGAGAAGATGGTTATAAACTCAGCAATCATTGGAAAGATGTCATCAAGCACTTTCGGTCATGACTCGATTTGTAATTTCTTGTCAACCTCCACCATCAGCAGTGTGGATGTGTGGAGCAAGGTGTAATGCCCCCCATCTCTACCCCCTCTCTCTCCCCCTAGCTCTGCCCCCTTCTCTCTCCCCCTTTGTCTTCTCCTGCATTAGCATTGGCTGCCCCGCCCATGCTGCTAACACACCTGGACTGCGCCGCTCGCTGCTCAGCACTAGCTCGTCCATTCATGCTGCCCTGCAGCACTTGTCCCCACTTCTTCTGACACTTGGGCTACGCCCATTTCAAGCCGTTATAAACAGTTGCAGTTGGAGGCTTGCCCCCCCTTTTCTCTCCGCCTGATGACGACCACTTGTGTTGCGATCGAAACGTCGTGAGTTTTTGGTTTTTTATTTTGTTGTTTTCTATCTACGTGACTTTACCGAAAGAACCAAAGAATATGAATTCCTGCAGTCACAAAAGTTTTAAATACAAATTTAAGCTTATTTGATTTACCAACCTTAAGAGCGACACTGTCGTCATTGCTGTTCTCAAGCTTTCCCTTAGTTTCCTCCATTGTTGTCTCCACCTCCACCAACTACAAGACAAATACATGTATTTAGCCAATAACACTATCTCTATATGGGCATTGATGTAGCATTCGTAGGTAATGCATAAACAGACGTTAACTAATTCCAAGTGTGAAGAATTTGCAATCCATTAACAATGTTCTGTGTTCAAAAAAGGATAACTTTTTTGATATATACACGATTATAAAATGATAAATCTTGTGCAATGAAATTGTAGAGTGATATAAAAAATTACAAGCCATCCAATTTTGCAATAACAGTATTCAAATAATTGTACATGCTGCTATGTCTCTCTCAAAGATAAGCGTAAGAAATACCTTCACTTTAGTGTCCACAACCTGACATATGAGCATGTTTTTTTCATTGACGATATTTTTTACTTGGACAACAAGTGCTGCTTCTCTTTCTGGATGAGAAATACAAAAAGTAAATAAAATAAATCACCATATCCTTTCAATAAAATGTCGTGGAAAGATTGATGTACACATTATAGCACTAGCGTACTTACTAAGATAACTTCTGTTTCGTACCTGAACAGAAAAAAACACACACAGGAACAAGGTCAGTGTTTTGTAAAACTGTGAACCTATGGCCGACAGATATACAATCCTGAAAGATGTACTTATTTTCACGTGTGATATGTTGGGGGTGCTAATGTTACACTTACGACAAGACAAATCCTGCAGAAGAATACCATGCAAAGGATGAAAGCAAAAAGTAGCAGCAAGACAGACACATCCAAAGGAAGCCCAAAGTAGTTCACAATGGATTGTGACAGTTCAGGTTTCCAGGATGTAATCTGGAACACATAAGGCATTTATATTAATCAGCGAATTAACTATAACTTCTCCAGTAAAATAAAATTCTAATATAAGCAGAACTCCATTCTGTTCCTTCACATATGGATAAACATATGTTTTCGTTCACTGGCCTACTGCCTTTCAAGATCAATATTACCCAGTTGCAGTTATCTAAGCAAGACAATTCTGGGATTCATCAGGCTCTTTAAACAAATGTCAGATGTTATGGGGAAAGCACTTCATCAAAACGATGGGACCCGCTCTATACGAACTTACAATTACTTTGTATAAAGTAAGATTTCAAAATAATTCGATAGTAAAAACATATACTTTAATGTGGAATAATATGCATATATTATGTGCATTATTTAAATTCGAATGCATCTCAAGACAACTATGACCTCTGTTTTACTTACAGCCATGACGAATGGTTGGAGAGCTGGGTGTAGAGCAGCAGTAATTTTTAAAATAAAGCTGTCAAACTTTTGAATCATCTCTGGAACATAAGCAGCAGCAGCAACACCAGACTTTTGGCAACCTGTCTTCTTCACATCTTTTGTCAAAAATTTCACTCCTACAGATGAAATGAAATATAAAATGTCAATATTGGCCATTTTATAATGTATATTGTTTAAATCTTGACTTAAAGCTTTCGTGACTGTAGGAATTCATATTCTTGGGTCTTTCGGTAAAGTCACGTAGATAGGTTCAAAGAAAATTGACATGCTAATCTCTCACAATACAATGGCCACCTCCTCAGCTTCGTCGTCGTGGAGGTAGCTCTCCGATCTTACATTGACATGCAAATTTCTCACTTTAACATCACAAGCCCCGCCCACTTCGCTTATGACCCTTGGGCCACACCCATTTCAAACCTTTAAAACATCCTGCCTCAGCAGCTTTCCCGCTATTTTTTCTCCAAATAACGATTGCTTGTGTTGCGATCGAAACGTCGTAGTTTTTTTGTTATTTTCTTTGAACCTATCTACGTGACTTTACCGAAAGACCCAAGAATATGCATATTGTTTATACACGAACCTACTGATAATAAACGTTACTTAATTCAGTCAATAAACATGACCATTAAACACATTTACCTTGACAAAAAACACAATGCATGGATCACTATGAATGTTAAATGACCAGTAAAAGAATATTAGATGCTAATCTAAAAAAAAAGTTCAAACGTATTTTTTAAGATTTAGGGAACATTATTACTAAATGTTATACAATAACTGCACTGTTTTAGGGGCCAGTTTTGGAAAAAACTTTTTTTAAGCCAATTTCATAATCCTCCTGTAAATATATTACATTACTCTTTCTACATAGAATAAAAGTCAACAAATATAACGCGTGCATACAACCTGCACTGGGTGTAGGTCTGCTTGGACTTTTACCTTCATGATGCAAATTCTCTGGTTCTATAACATCTTTTGAGTATTTTTGTCTTAGGCTGGACATGATCTCCTGTACATCACTGAAAAAAGTAAAGTTGTCTTTGTGAATATCTTCTTCGGGATTTAACGGGATTTGACGCGTACGTGCATCCACCACTTTTCTAAACCACCACAGAATATGAGGCCTGAACTCATTGACAACTGAGTCCAACAGCTCATCGCGCTGCACATCATGGCCCAGTGCATTCTCCATGTGCTGAAGCTCCTCGTCCATCCTCCACAGGCTGGTTTCTAAAGCGATCACACCTTCCTCTCCGAATATCTCCGTGAGTTCAGACAGTATCTCTTCTCTTAAGTAAGTCTTGAGAATAGCAAGGTCTCTGTTCTGTTCCATATAATGAGGCGATGAAAGGTTTAACGTAGTCAATAATGAATTTACATAAAATGAGGGCCCTTCAATGTCATTCTCACTTTCTAATGTTGATGACACATGCGAGTCATGTTGCTTGTAAACATTATCAGTATTTTCCAAATCATTGTTTTCAGTTTCAATCTCATTCCCTGTTGTTGTGCCATGTGATCGTTCCTCTTCAGCATCTTTGTTTTCAGTCTCTATCAAATTATAATTTATTGGTAAATCAGACCCCATGACTTGTTCATATGTAATGTGCTTCTTGGTAGTTACTCCCTCTTGATTGTTTTCCATTACTTCTGAGTCATCCTGTATTTCCAAGTTATTCTTTTCTATCACGACTTTCACAGTATCACCTTCTCTTGGTAATGGTTTTTCTTTTTCCAAAACAAAGTCATGCCCATCTTCAGCATCGATGGGGTGTTTGATGTCTGGCATAATGCTATTTTTGTATCGTACAACAATATCCTCACTTTCTCCACCCTCAACTTCAGTGTGGGCTGCCACTTTTGAATCTCCACGTTCATTGTGACGATTGCTTGTGTCATTGTAAGTTGTAGAATTCTTATCAAGGGGTACACTCAAATGTTCACCACCATTGTTTGAAGATGTCAGGTCTTTCTCTTTATAATTTGAAAAATCAGATCCCGTTTGATCATTGCTCTCCTCCTTTGGTGATGCTATTTGAATGTCACGTGGTGTGTGCTCACTGTCATCTTTCAAATCAATGGCCAGTGAATCCTCATTAAGATTTGGAGTTTTGGTATCAGGGTATTCGGCTGATTCAGAAATAACATCTTCTTTGGAACAAGAAAAATCGGTGTCCTGTAAATATAAAACAGAAAATAACATTTATATTTTTTTACGAGAACCCTTCCAAAATGCAGTAATGCAGTAATTTAAATTTAATGTTTATTATTTTAATGTAAAATATTACCATAGTTGGAAGCGTAACTTCAGTTGTAGAATAGTTATTTTGGACTTCGACAACATCTTTAGGAAAATATCCCAATTTATTGCCAACCTACAGAGGAAAAAAACAAAGTCTTGAGTTAGACCAAAATTAGATGTATGTTTTTTTTGTAATGGCTTTACATCATAAAACTATTACCTACCATTCCCAGCCATAGGTCCTCCCGCTGTCCTGCCAGCCGGTAATAAACATAGACATCATCATCCTTTGAAAAGGACACAAATCGGCAGTCTTGAGCCTCATAGTCACGTATAGCCTTCACATGGTACATCACATCTGGCAATGAGAAAAGAACACATCACGGTCAAATGTGGCAACCAATCATATACGTATTGTATACACATCTGCATTTCACACTAACCCATCTGTTTGTTTGTTCTAAAGCAATGGGTATATAATACTTAGCCAACAGGATACATTCTCCATTCCCGTGTTAAACACAAGTCATTGCTTTCAGTGTTTGACCCTACAGACAGTGCTACCGGTGTGATCCTACAGCTGTTAGTGCTGCCAGTATGTCACCCTATAGCCAGTGTTTGACTCTAAAGCCAGTACTGCCAGTCTGTGACCCGATATCCAGTGCCACCAGTGTCTGACTCTATAGTCAGTGTATAATCCTGACCCTCGTGTGACCCTATAACCAGGGCAACCAGCCTCTGAACTTAGAGCCAGTGTTGCAAGTATGTAGCCCTATAGCCAGTGTCTGACCTTATAGCCAGCGCTTTTAGTGTCAGACCATGTAGCCAGTGCTGCCAGTGTGTGCCCCTATAGCCAATGTGTGCCCCTATAGCCAATGTGTGCCCCTATAGCCAATGTGTGCCCCTATAGCCAGTGTGTGCCCCTATAGCCAGTGTGTGCCCCTATAACCATCGCCATCAACACAGCACGGCAGAGCGAGCCGCGCGGGGCTGCCAGCGCCGCACTGACCCCGGCACTCCGTGTCGGCGCATATCTTCTGGTCGGAGAGCGGCTCGCGGTCCACGGCCGAGCTCTGGCACGGGGAGAGCAGCGGCAGCAGCAGCGGCAGGAGGAGGATGAGGCCCGTGCGGGTAAGCAGCCGGCTCGCCATCACGTGCGTGACGTCATTGGGACGGAATCGCTCCGCGTGACGATATCTGAAACTGGCCGTGCGCGTGACGTCATCGCGACGTAAACGCTCCGTGTTAACGCCATCGAGACGGAGAGCCTTTACGTGAGGTCACCGCAACGGCGGCTCTGTGAGTGACGTCATCGGTACTGAGGCTTTACGTGACGTCTCCGAAACGGATGCTCCAGTGAACGTCACCGGGACGGAGGCTTTACGTGACGTCACCAAAACGTGCGCTCTGTGTGACGTCATCGGTACTGAGGCTTTACGTGACGTCTCCGAAACGGACGCTCCAGTGAACGTCATCGGCACGGAGGCTTTACGTGACGTCACCCTTACGGGCGCTCTGTGTGACGTCATCTTCACGGAGGCTTTACGTGACGTCACCGGAACGGCCGCTTTCGAGTGACGTCGCCGGGACGAAGGGTTCCGCGTGACGTCACCCCCGCGCCGCCTGGTCTCGCGTCGCCCTCTGCAGGAGGCATGGCTCCATCTCTAACACGCAGTAGTAGTAGGAGTCGAGGAGCCGTAGGAGGCTTTCGCGACCAATATTGTCCATTAGAGGGTTTTTGGGTTAGATCGCGTTAATAAAAGTGTGTTAAATTTTGATTTAAAGCTTTCGTGACTGCAGTAATTCATATTCTTAGCTCTTTCGGTAAAGTCTAAGAATATAAAAGTGTGTTGTTAAACCCGCCACCACCCGACACTGCCAATTAGTAATTGTTTTGCCACGTAAACAAAAGCATGCCAATTCGTTACTCGTACAGCACGCTGGTGTGTTGGGAGCGTCAATACACAAACAATTGGGAGTCCAATTCGATATTAGTCAGTGGTTATAGGGCCACAATTCGAGTACAATTCGAGTAGTGTAAATGCTGTGGGTTTACTCTCCTGGTGAGGCAACACGATATTTATTGGCTTTTCCTACAAGGTCCCTAACACAAAGGGGTATATCGGCCCCTTTACCCAATATCTGGGGAGGTATGGCCTCTGGACTAGACGGGCCCTATCTCAGGGGGATCTCCTTTAACCTTCGTCCTCCGGCTGGAGCCCTAGGGGAGGCTATGCTGACCCGACCGTACCCGGTCCGTGGGCCCTGACCGCTGGCCTCACTGAGCTCCGGCCCTTAGAAGGACAACGGAGATTGGGGTCCAGGGTCGCAGCTTCATCCCAGATCTTTGTTCTTCAGCTTGGAGATGACTGACCAAGACCCTTGAGAGGTCCGGCTTATATACTGGTTCGTGGCTTGCTCCGCCCTGGCCACGCCTCCCTTCCAGAACTTTCTGGAAGGTGACATCCGAATTGGCACGTTTTGTTTACTTGACAAACATCACTAATTATCAGTCGGGTGGTGGCGGGTTTAACGACACGTTTATATTTACGCGATGTAACCGAAAAAAAACGCTCTATTATCGCTCCCTCTTTGTTGAGCTTCGGTGGTGGACCAGGGGTCAGAAAATACTGCGGCTGCGAATTCGCAGGCGTATCTTTTAAAGACCGCTTCATGACCTTATTTATTAAGGACCGTCTCTCCCATTCCGCAAGCATTGCGGCTCTTGAAATATTGAGTGTTTAAATCGAATTCGAACAAAGATGTCTCATCTTGTTATTTTGGTTTTGCCGACTCCCTGGCGTGAACGGACATCTTTCCCTGGGGTCACTTAGCACCGTTTCTGGCGAATGTCAAGACACCAACATCTTGGGGTCATTTTAAAGGTGAAAATCGGGTCACGTGCCTCATCTGTAAAAAAGGGCTTCATAATTGATAGGATTTCTCCAATATAAGCACATTCTGAACGAAAAAAATATTCCCATTGTTCGGATGTTCAGAAGTACATTATCCGAGTAAATAAGCCTTCAGGATTTATGGCTCGTTTTCAAGAGTGACTGCCAGCAGACAAACACGTGACTTTACCGAAAGACCCAAAGAATACGTTACAAATCAATCAATATGATGAAAAAGTAATGATAATACGATATTAACAATTATGTACATTCACACATGTGGTGTTTCGATCTCGATAACATGTTGCTATTGTAGGGGTAATCGGCACTCACCACTCTGTGGGCAGGTAGCTCCCCCTTCTCGTCAATAGGGGGCGGAAGCGCTATCAATCCAGGGCTAATGACCATGGCCTAAAAGGGGCCAACGACAATCCCCAGGAAACGGATCCTGGGACACATTCCCCGGGACCCCGGCAGGGGGACCGGGGGGATGATGTCACCTTACAGAAAGTTCTGGAAGGGAGGCGTGGCTAGGGCGGAGCAAGCCACGAACCAGTTTATAAGCAGGACCTCTCAAGGGTCTGGGTCATCTCCAAGCTGAAGAACGAAGACCTGGGCTGAAGCTGGACCCCTGGACTTCAAGCTCCGTTGTCCTTCTAAGGGCCGGAGCTCAGTGAGGCCAGCGGTCAGGGCCCACGGACCGGGTACAGTTGGGTCAGCATAGCCTCCCCGAGGGCCCCAGCCGGAGGACGAACGTTAAAGGAGTTCCCAGTGATAGGGCCCGTGTAGCCCGGAGGCCATACCTCCCCAGATATTGGATAAAGGGGCTGATATACCCCTTTGTGTTAGGGACCTTGTAGGAAAAGCCAATAAATATCGTGTTGCCTCACCAGAAGTTCTTCGTTAATTTATACCCACTACACTATTAACGGCGGTGAATGTAGCGGCATTGAGAGTAACACCGTAAATAATAATAGTACCGTAATAATCTTTGACACGCAATTTGATGAATGTTCATAAATTCAAAAAAAGTCTTGTTGGTAGGTGCGTTGTTACATACTTATTAACGCAGTAGAGGGTATTGGCGTAAAATAAGCAATGACTCAGAGAATATGGTTAGAGTGTATTGATATAAAATAAGCAATGATTAGTAACAAAGTAGTTTGCACTGGAAATTGATGAGACAGCCAATTTATGATTGAAAGGCGGGCCTCCATTATGCGGGATGAGCGAATTACTGCAAATAAATGATGCATAATTACGGTACTCTGCTTAAATTGCATCTACATAGTGCATAACACGCTTAATTAAGACTCAACAAGTGAATATATTTGCAGTTTAGAATGGCATATATCAAGCAGCAAAAAATATGCTAGTTTAGTATGCATATTTAAAAAAATTGTACTACAAATGTAGTTTCATACATTAATCTGAGACATCAACACTGAAGCTGACGCAGAAGACTTATTATTAAACCCAAGGTTTTTATTTTGGCATTTTAAAATGTACATTTTTTTAGAGCCCTTGCAAAGCACGTGGATGAGTGCAGTGGCACTCAGCAATAACTACTGTGCCTAGGTTTGAGTCCAGATTCTAGTGCTTTTCTATGTGGAGTTTGTATGCTCTCCCCCTGTTCTACATGGGCTTCCCCTAGGTTTCCTCCCATAACTAAAATAACAGAATGGTACTGGAGATCCTGGAACATTACTTGCAAATAACTTAATTGCCATTACACATAGAAACTTCGCCCCTATTGTGAGTTGGCACAGGGCCCTCCGGAAAACTCAAGACAACAGCATTCCTCAGTAAAGATGTAAAAAAAATGTTAACAGGCAAGTAGTATCTAGCTTTAAAATTGCGAGTGCAGGTAAAAACGAAGGCTTCTGCATGTAACTTAACTAGCGGGTAAATTGTGGTCCGATTAGGGTTTTAGTTATTTTGTATTTACAGTATTTGAATCCCTAAGCATTCCATACTGATGTACTTTTTGCATATGCGCAATGGTTTGTACATGTGTTGGTATCTTGTTTTAAAGTTCTGGCTAGCCCAGAATTCTAGCCTCGAGAAGTGTTACCGTGCCCATAATATATATCTTAAAGCTTTTTGCACGACATGTATTCGCATAGATGCAAATTCCCTTGTTCTTTTGCCCAACAAAATAATGTGAAAGCGAATCAAGTAGACGATGCGTGACAACGAACGTGAGAGGAATGGAATGCTACTACAGATGGAAGAAGTTAGAAGCGTGGTGATTAAAAATCGACGTAAGATCCGTCTCGATACCCCCACAGCTGGGTATATATCTCAGCAAGGGTTGATTTCAGAGCACCGAGCTGGAACCTCTGAGTTTAGGGGTCACACCCTGGGTGAGAATGGGATAAAATGGCCTCGATTCCCTGAGGTTAACACATTATTTAATGAGCAGCCAGCACGTATTATAGAAGCCATTGACACAGAATCATATATTGGCATTGGGAAAGATGCAGTTTGATGCAATGCATGTCTTCTGAAATGCATGCGCCTTACTTATTCCAACCACTATGCAGTGATCATGCCCACTTGTGCATTTCCCACTTGTCTTTCACAAACTTTTACCCTTCCTGCTCGCAATTTGCAAGCCCGAGTTGACCATGACCCCCCCCCCCCCCCAAACCTTCATGGTGGATGATGAGGCACAGGATTTCGGGAGTCTCCCAGTCCTTCCGATTCCCAAGATCATTCAGAAACTTAATTCAAAGGCAGCACAATCATAAGGTACCCCTTGAGCTCTTGGACGCCAGTACCAGTAGACATCAAGGTACTGAACTGTACCCCTCTGATGATGTGGTCTCCATCATGTATTTGGGGAGCAGAGGTGTTTGCTCCCCTGAGAATGTTCTCTCAAATGTGGAGGCATGGGATAGGGGAGATAAACATAGGCGGCGCTTTGTCCAAAATGTTTTAAATATATTTAAAGATGGCCTGAGGGTAGTGCCCAGTACATTGATTCATCCGTTTTTTATCTTACATTTACACCGGCACAATTTGTTTTTAATTTTTGTTTGCATCTTTCTCTGGTTGTGCCCTTTGAGTATGCTGTGCATTTGCATTTATATAACATTTTTGCTGTGGAACAGATTCAGACACACATGGGGACACACAAAGACTTAACACAGGTGTGTTAGTTAATTAACAAATTATGGTTTGTGTGCAGTTTGTGGTGATCAGGCTATGGTGATCAGGCTGAGTCCATCATCTTACTACATTAGAGAACCTGGTTTAATCATGAGCTGCTCAAACCCAGATCCGAACCGGCAATCGCAGGAGTGCCAGCTCATAATTGTGACCTCGAGCCACCCCAGGCATTGACAATTAAATTGTGACCCTGATTTGTGACGGTTGAATTTTGGTACAGTATTGACAAATCATAAAATAATTTCGAGCTCCCTTCAGTTGTAATTGTTTTAGAAAAGACTATTAAGTGGTGCTTATGAAATGAAGGTGTTAAACCAAATAGAAGCTACACAATGTTTAATTCCAGATCTTCTTTATACTGTTATGAAATTTGAATGGCAGTCAGCAAAATAAAAACAAACTGCTATTTTCCCACACAACAATTAACTGTTGTATCATCACAGTAGTACAGTATGTTGGTAAATGGTAAAGGAGTCATCATCGCTAGAGGCCAAACTATACACTGCAAATATTACACTACAAACAATAGCTTCCATGACAAAGACTAGGCAGTACATAAAAGTACATGTTTTTAAATGCATGATTCATTTTAAAATACAAATACTGCAACATAACCTCAACATTTGCCAGTAACACGACTAAAAATATTAAATAACTTGTGAGTGGGTTCTTGCCTGTACGAGTGAGAATCTTATTTACTGTGATTGACCATGACAAATTATTACCACAGGACTATGATGTCCCATTTTTGTGTTTGGTTAAGCAATGAGATGGATTGTGGCATCATAGGACTGAGAACAATGATGACTGCATGTACAGACCTTTATCCAGTAGTGTATAGACTATGGCTGATAATAACTGTAATCTCGGTGTGCTGACAGAATTCAGTAACATCACTCTCTACATGAATGAAAGCTCTTGGCCCATTAAAAGTGGCTAACATTTAATTATGTTTAAATAAAATATTATTGTGAGAAATGTGGGTTTATAACAAATTACTACAGGACATGTTTTTTATTTTACTCAATTCAGGCCTTTGTATACATGGGTATTGTACATTCTGGCCAAGAACTATATAATTTATGAATTCGTATGTCATAACTTGGAAAGCTGCATGATGGATCTTGGCCTGACCATCTTTTCGACCAAAAGAGAGGTATTTTATTTTGACTGTGAGCATGCATAGGTGTATGGCTCAGTTCTTTGGAAGGAAATCATGCTGTGTGGAGAAGTGTTTGATGGATGTGGAGATAAAGGGGCTTCTTTGTCAACAGCTGCAGTTTCTTTCTCCGGTAGTCAGTTGGCTTCTTGTACCTTTCATAAACAAAATTAACATGTATGTCAACAAAGTATTATGACCACAGTGGCTCACTGTTAACGACTCACTGCAATAGATAATGCTAAAGGATAATATACATTTCCAATTCAGCAGGCAGAAAAATGCAGGCTGTGACAGGCCCATAAAAATGTTATTATTACTTTCCCTTCATATCTCAAAATGTTATAGAGCACATCATGACAGTTATGCCAACCATTTAAAGTCAATTTAATGAACTTGCTTGGGTAGACAGGTAAGTAGTGCATCAATTGAACCATCGCTTACTTTTTTATGGTGAAATTAATAAAACCCCATATTTCTGGCAGCCTACACAGACACTACAAATGTGATGTCCTGGAGGGTGTGATTGTTAATGGCCTCACAGCTCGATGATGGCAGCTCCAGGCCGGATCTCATCCATTTCAAGCAAGGCAAAACACTTGGTGCTTGTCAAGCGCTTTAAGGGCTTATAGTGTTTTAATTCAAAGAAGATGGCAGCATCTGAATGAGATATCAGAAAGCAAATGTGACATATGATGTGCAATATCACTCACTATAACATTACAATTCCCTTACAAAACAGCATATTTTAAAAGAAAATTACTGCACCACCACTAAACACTTTTTAAAACTAAGGAACGAGAACACATGACTGGAAATTTAGATCTTAAAAAGTGATTGGACTTCAAATAAAACGGTTTTATTAATAAACAGAAACTAATTAACTTAAATATAAATCTGGCTTGTGTGAGCATTCAGGTACTGTACAGTATAGTTTTGGTCATTGATCAATATTATATAACTGCAATGTGATGGTACCTGTTGGAATGTCTTCAACTGGCAATTGTATTTCTACATCCACTTGGAAAATCAAATATGTTCCTTCCAGATTAACAGCAAAAGGTGTATCTTGTGATGTAGTCAACTCTGTTCCACACACATCTATAAAAGTAGTGAAATATTAATTGTGCAAAAATGTGATGCAATGGAATACCTGTAATTCATTCTTCAATACTGTTTTCAAGTGACTGGCCACACAAATTACCACCATTAAAGTGCTGTACTACATATAGACAATTCAGATATTAAAATTACATCTACAATTTAAAGTTGAATCTAATTTATAAAATGACCCTCGAGCTAATTCAACACTGCTTTATAAATGCACATTATAAACGTTACAAATAAAACCTCATGTTTGTGTTGGAATGTTTATCACTGATATAAAAAAGCGCTCCACAATATTCTCCCTCATAACGTTCAAGTCAATATTTGTTGTTAAAAGTAATGCTAATACCGTTATGCCATCCCGTACTAAACGACATGTAATCACCCATTGCTCAATTAGCTCCCTGTAGAATTTCAGAGGAAGGCCATATTCCCCCTTCCACCATCCCTGAAACCCATGTGAGCTGAGCATAAGCACCACCTCGGACTGTGATCGTGATGTAAGGATCCACACAGAGGGCTGCGTCCTTCAAGCCCATGTTCACAATCTTGATGGTCAGCAATGTCCTGCCATGCTTGGGCTTGAGGCGTGGCAATAAAGTCCCTGTAATAAAGTTGCAATTCATCAGATGGCCACTGATTTGTTTTAAATGAATATGCAATACTCATTACCACTACAGTACATCGGTAATGATACGCTATACATAAGTACTTAGGCCCTGTATTGTCATGATTCAGTCATGATTCGATTCAATAAAAAATACTTGTCAAATTTTTATGACCTCGTTTTAATTGTCTCAGTTGTAGTCTAAATGTCACAGCAGATCATATGCATGTTATTTGTACAGTGCAAGTTAAAACTTTATTACATTGTGTTAATTATAAATGACTAGCGGGAAGTACTCGGCATTGCCCGTTGGAAAAATATATTTTAAAACTTCTCTTAAAAATATAACATATACATACACAAATACTAAGCTATTGTGAAAGCCCGGCATGTAATTTGTCTATCTATTTGTCCGTCAACAAAATTATAAGAGGCTTGCAGAAGTCCAAATAGTTATAGAAAGTGGGGGGTAAATAGGTGATCTAAAAGGTTTCCGAAAATTGTCGACCCTCCCCCCCTCAAAAAATATTTGTATCCCCGCGTAGGCATATATACCTACACACCCTACATACAATAGAGTGATTCGTATCTAGTGACTCAATAGTAGTATCTGGCTCTACAGTAGTATCTACTGACTATAGTAGTATATACTGACTGTAGTAGTAACTACTGACCGTAGTAGTATCTACTGAGCCCAGTAGTATCTACCCACTCGATAGTAGTAACTACTAACTCTATAGTAGTATCTGCTGACTCTATAGTAGTATCCACTGACTATAATAGTATCTGCTGACTCTATAGCTGTATCTGCCGACTCGATAGCAGTATCTGCTATCAATACAGTAGTATATACTGACTGTAGCAGTATCTACTAACTCTATCATAGTATTTACCGATTCGATAGAAGTATCTACTATCATATTCTTGGTTCTTTCGGTAAAGTCATGTAGATAGAAAATAAAATACAATAACAAATATATATGAATTGCTGCAGTCACAAAAGTTAAGTAAAAATGTATCTATCACTACAGCAGTGTATACTGACTGTAGTAGTATCTGGTATCATTACAGCAATGTATATTGACTGTAGTAGTATCTATCACGACAGTAGTATATACTGACTCTATAGCAGTATATATCGACTCTATAGCACTACTAACCTAACAGAGTACCGTGGTGAGGCCTAGTCCCGTGCAGAGCCCCAGGCCTCGCCTAGATTGCCCAGCTGGCCGAGGTGGCACCTTGGCAGGCTAGGGCTGGGCTGCTACACACACTCCCCTCCCCACTGCCCGCTCTCGCTCTACAGTAATAGTATCTAAGGACTATAGTAGTAGTATCTACCGACCCTATAGTAGTAAATGCACACATTGGGGTGGGGGGAGAAGAGGACATCACACTGTGAATAATTTACTCTACAGTAGTATTTACCTACTCTGCAGTAGTATATACCGACTCTATAACAGTATATATCGACTCTATAATATTAACTAACTTCACAGAGTGCCGTGGTGAGGCCTAGTCCCGTGCACATCCCCCGGCCTTGCCTAGATTGCCCAGCCGGCGGAGGTGGCACCTTTGCAGGCTGGGGCTGGGCTGCTATCCCCCCCCACCATCCCCCCGCCCGCTCTACAGTAATAGTATCTAAGGACTATAGTAGTAGTATCTACCGACCCTATAGTAGTAAATGCACACATTGGGGTGTGGGGGGGGAGAAGAGGACATCACACTGTAAAGAATTTACCTCGGCATTGTGTACTTTTTTGCAATTTTTTACGTGAATGAGAATTGTGCCCTCCCTCCACCGATTGCGTGTGTGCGTTGCTAGGGCAACCACCACCACGAGCCGGCGTAACTCGCGCATGCGCAGATGCGTGCTCTGGTGCCACCCTGTGCTTATAAAAGGAATAAATTGTTAATCTAATTACTTTAAAGTTGACAGATGTGAAATACGAATAGTGCTTTTTGGGTCCCGGGGCATACGGCGTGGTATCCGTGTACTTTTTTGATACGTACACCCCACAGTTTGTCAGTTAAAAGCGTCTTAAGGTACCCGTGCAGACAGACAGACAGACAAAAAAGTGACTTTTAAAGGTAAGATACTATAGTAAACTCTTTAGCGTCATGCAAAAAGGTGATGCATATAAGCGGAAATAACTTACCATCTCTATTTCCTATATCAGGCAGCAGAGAATACATAATTAATAAACATGTTAAAACAGTTTGAATATTGAAATACTGTGATAACATACAGTAATTATTATGTAGACATATGCTACATACATTATATGTTATATATGCCATTTGCTATGACATATGGACAATAAAAATGCAACAAAAGTGGAAAAGTGTTCAAACAAGGATGGAGAGGCAAATGCTTGGAATTACACTTACAGAAAAGGGACACTGAAATTACAGTGTGAATGAGACATTGACTGTTAATAAAAGTGGGTTTGGGCTGGACATGATTTTAAGAAGGGATGCTGACCGGTGGTAGAGACTTGACAGAGTGGCAGCCAAAGGAGGTAACATGCACAAAAATACAATGCTCCATAATAAAATTAGGGATTGTTGCATTGTAGGAGCATAAGCGATGACGGTGGCTTAGGAAGTCCTTCATTCAGCAGTGGATGGATCATGGCTGGTGACGATGTCAAGCATTACATGTATACTGTCTTTGGCTGCTAATCCTCAAGCAATGTGAAATATTGCATTGCAATACTATGGGTACACATGACTGGAGCAATGCAGAATATAGTAATCCATAACTATTTTATGACATTTTCTTTGAAATCTGGTTCTAAAGGTTCAGTTTCGTTTAAAATGGACATCTTTAGGATCTGAATGCATATGTCCTCGTTTTAGAAGAGGAAACCATCTCAATTACAGCAAAATAACAGTTGCAGAACAGTATTGGTTAATGGAGTACAGGTACCTGATATTCTCGGAGAGTCCAGTTTCTTAGGAGCTTTAGGCTTAGGTAACTTTCTGTTAAAATGCAATAACAAATATTTACGTGTTTACATTTATCCAATTTAGTAGAATATAAAACTAAACCATACTGTAATACTATACCCTCGTCCATTAATCAGCATGTTATAAAACAACTTACATATTGTTAATCCACATGCAACATTTCACTGAATTTTAGTTGAACATTATACAGTACATACAATTCACAAAGCTAGGTGAAGGTTTTGATTTAAAGCTTTCGTGACTGCAGTAATTCATATTCTTAGCTCTTTCGGTAAAGTCACGTTGAAGGGAAACAATAAAATAATAAAATATATACAAACCGACACACCTGATGACGACCGTTTGTGTTATGGTCGAAACGTCGTGAGAATTTTTATTGTTTTATATATATATTATTTTATTGTTTCCCTTTAACGTGACTTTACCGAAAGAGCTAAGAATATAGGTGAAGGTTGTTTACAAGGAGGCTGTGGAATGTTTTTAAGGAACATGGTACAGGTGCATGTGGCTTTATGTCCAAATATTGTGTGGTATACATTTTAATGGCTGTATCAAAGTCTCAAACCTGTTAATATTCAATTCGAGTGTGATGTATGAAGCCCTTAAACTAGCCAACTATTGACTGCATTGTGCTTACTTTGCAGAAAGAGGCGTCACGTCAAATGGAAAATCTTGACATGGGAGCATGATGTTCTGCAAAACTAAATATATTTTGTATCAAAGTACATTCTTAAATATAAAACGTATGCATTCCAACCATATTCCTATTGTCGTTTACATGATTAACGTACAGTTAATGTATTTTTATCTTCCCACAATATTCCACGTTTGGAATGTTGCGGTAACACAAGATAAGCAATGCAGAAGTCCAGAAGAGAACATGGCAGGAAAATGTTGTAGATATGATTATACAACAATAGTAGCAGGTGGAATGTATGCAGGATGGGGGGGGCGATTGTCGGGACAGAAATTGGAATTGTTTTCAAGATTATGGCGACAAAGGGGAATAATTTGGAGGTTGCATGTCTACTGTGCAAAAGCTGCTATCAGCATCATGTAATGTGATGACATTCCCATCCTTAATTCTCACAGGTAACAGAGCACCACCTTGTGAAAGATGCCACTACATAACTATGCCTTTTGATTCACACTAGAGGCACACCTTTTGTGAGCCCTACATATATTATGACGTTTTTTTAAAACAAAATGTTTAAGTCACAGAGCTATAATAAGTTGAAATGTACCTATTAGATTTGGTCTGTGTGGTCGTTGGTGACTGGGTTGACTGCCACCTTGAGAAGATACTTTAATCACAGCTGGTTGTCGAGATGTTAACCCAGGTAGTCAGTCCATGAGCCAAGGCCAGGAACTTCACTTGTCATTATATACACCAGAGATGGCATCACTTTAGCGGTTCCAATTTCTTTATCTGGTCAGTAACAGTGAATTGTGTGATCACTACATTATATTTCATATGAATGGGTTATCAAATCATTCGTATGAGCCAAATAAATGAATTGGCACGAAAGATATCCTGATATGCTTCCAACCTTAGGTGGTACTGATTTCTGCTCTGGTCCATAGACTAAGGATATCATAAATGTCAGCTTATTGCTCTAAGGTGGCACTATATTAACCCCCTGAGGCACCATACCATAGCTGCAGTCAACAATATTCTACAGTTTAATCCTCGCTTTGGTTTGCAGTTGAAATCATGATTGATGACATACACTAAAGGTAAGTCATATCAATGTTATAATTATGTGTGTTGGAGTAAAATGGCATTTAATTGAGTCAACATATTTTAGTATCAATACATACCTAAGTATATTTGCTCCAGTTGTTCTAACAGGAAGGCATTTTCTAAATCTGGAGACTGAAAAAAGCAATCAAAACAAGCATGATAAATTTATATTTGTATGAGTTGCACTTTTCAGTTCTGTGATTGTATGAACTGCTAACATTTATAAAAGTTATTGTCTTTACCGCTCACCTGTAGGGATTTTATACGCAGTTCCAGACAAGCAGCATTTTTTCTTAAGGTAATCTAGTAAAGTGGATAAATCATAAGATGTCAACAACTGCAATGTAATTTAATTCAAAAACGCATGTACATTAAATGCTGTAACGACCACAACCGTCCATCTTACACTTTTGGAATGTTGTTTTAATAGATCATACTGCCATGCTTCCAAACATAATAACTTGGATACAATATAAAGCAATCTAATTCGAGAGTTAAACTTTTCACAGAAGCCACACACATATGTGCCTTACCTTTTGGTCATCACTAAAGAGCGAGAGCATTTTTGGTTGCTGAGCCTCGTGCATCATTTCTTCCACAAGCCTGAACAATTGCAAATAAAAAAAAATCTTAATACAACAATGGGATGTTAACCACATGTGCAATATTTATATTCGATTGTCAATGTGTAAGCATGCTTTAATATTTGGGACAAGTGGCAACATATGCATTGCCACAGCAAGCAGGATTCAAGACTTGATGTTAGCGAAATTACTGTCCCGCATTTCGATTTAAAGCTTTCGTGACTGCAGGGATTCATCTTCTTGGTTCTTTCGGTAAAGTCACGTAGAAGGGAAATAACCAAGAAGATACTGTCCTGCACTTTATCGCCATAATAAAAAAAAGTCACGTTAGGATTATTGTACTCTATAAAAATGCAATGTCATTATGGCGAGGTTTAGTATGTGGCTACATGCAATATACATAGCTTAATTTTAGATTGTATGACAATGTCATAAAAATTCAGTAATGTATTGTATTAACCAAATACTAGCTGGACTACAGTTGTAGATGCAATATTGTAAAAGCAGTACCGTAATCTCCAAGTCTGTACATCTATGTCAAACAGTCATCCATATTCAAGCGATAACATTTTCAAAGTGTATTTTGTGTTGATCCCTTAGATAATGATCATTGCGTACTTTACCGTTCATACGCATTAATCGCTTCCACAAGTTGACCCCATGAGTCCAGGTCCATCCCTTTCTTAAGTGTTCCGAGCCACATCATAATAGTGGCATCCGCATTTATTTTCCCCACGTTACTCTCCATGCTGCCGCAACTTAAGGTGTCAAGGTGCAGATTACGCTGTAGTATGTGGTCAGGTGAAAAGGCAAAAGTGTTTGGTGTACGGCTTGGCTACCTGGCAACCAAGTACACTTCATCGTGATGCAATAGTACTCGTCTAAAATGTCACGTGGAAACACTGGCTCCCGTGTCCTTTTACACCAGCAATTTTTATTGTGCTGATGGTTACATTATTTAAAACTACTGCTGTAAAAAAGGAATAAGTACCAATGTGTTCTCATAATTTAGTGGTCATTCTATGAATACGCACATACATAAACACATAAAGCTACAGTTCAAACTATATTTTGTTAATGCCAAATAACCTTTATTGTTTGACCACCAGCATTACCAGACCAACATAAAAAAATTGTGAAATACCGTCTCTATTTAATAGTATAGCTGTTAAACACACACAGTTTAGCCCATTAAAAGGACACAAACTTGGGGAAATTATTATTTATCAGATAATTTCGTTGTGATGTGTACATGCAAACTAATTATGGTAATTTATGCCAGGTTGGATTGCATGCTGGGGGTAGTTTTAAGATGGTGTGCTCCGTTTGGGATTAGATGACAGAGAGATTATTGGGTACCAAGCTGCAGGTGAGCCCTGTTCCATCAGACTCAATGAACAGCTTTCTCACTACACCATTCTTCAGCAGCATGGTGTACCTGTGAAACACAGGCCAATATATGAAACAACAGACTGAGTCTTGGGCTCCATCTGCAAGACATTTTAAATCCTCTATACCATGTACTGCCAACTATCCACCAAAAACCAAGAAAAATGTAGTTCTACCCAACAGCAAATTTAACTCAAAAGTTCATGGAGGTAAATAAATACTGAGTGAAAAGCTACTATTTTCACTCAGAATCGTTTAGCTGTACCTGGTGTGGGTATTCTGATATAACTTTTCTTCCCAAAAGAGACTAAAGTTAGTCCATTTCTCCTTTGCATGACATACCAGTCAAGACTTTAAAAAAGATAAAATGGAAACCCCTTCTTGAAGATGACAGTAGACCTTATCACCTGCCTCAGCTATACAGTATTTGCTTATGGAAACGTGGGACAACAGAAGCTTGATGCTAAACTAATTGTATTTTTCATCTGCCATTTTTTATTTTGTAACAATATTTGGTGTTAAGTCGGTAGCAGTTCTTGATGATTACATACAAAAGTATTTCCACTTTCATTGAAGACGGCTTATGATATGCATAAAGAACATAATGACCACTCACCTCGTGGAACGTTTGCCTCCCAATCATGGCAGCCAGATTTGGATTATCTAGCACAAGGCCAAGAGAGGCTATCATAGAAGCACAGGCAATTAATCCCAATCATAAAATGCACCAACAAGTTGCAATAAAGTGTCAAATTAATACATATTAAAAAATACTGTATATTTAACAGTACAGACGGGATTGCATAAAGCCACAACCAAAACACTCTTACTCTTGATTAAATGCAAACATTTCTGTTGATGTTTTGCAATTTCCTCTTCAAGGGCTCCGGTGGGATCTGTCACCATTCACACCTAAACATAAGCAGACTAGTTGAACAATCTGAGCATCATGTATAGCCAAGTCATTCATTATTAGTGATGGGAAGGTCTATTAAAATATATTAAACACTGATTATTGTTCCACAACAAATATAAAAACCCATGCCTCTAGAGAACAATACAGGACATATTTTATTACCATCAGAAAAAAATGTGATTGATGACTCACAGTGTGGTCCTTTGGGTAATTAGAAAATTGGATGTGCATGTTATTTCACATTTGCAATACGTTAATGACCACTCCTGTTCGATGGAAATCTGCTCATTTTCAAGTAAATGGGTAATATAATGCTGCAGACTACACGAGAGGATTTTGTGTGCTCCAGTTCATACCTTGCCATCAGCATGGTTGGCCTGGCCCCAGGCACATATCACGAAGAGGTCATTGACAGAAACACAGGCAATCACCTCCCTGCCTTTCCCTTTCAGCTCATCTGCCTTACCTCGTAAAATAACGTACAAAAAAGGGTTTAGTTTAATTTTACAAAGCTGGGCAAGTGAGCCTGTCAGAATACAGAGGTAGTTGTTGGATGCAAGCAAAGGTATAACAGTAATTGTACTCAAGGCAAATACAGTACAATATAAATCCAAAGGGTTAACACCTCCGGTGCCAGAGCTTTCATTAAATCAGTACGTGACAAAGCTGAGTATTAATTACAAGAACACAAACTCGGAACACCCAGGGGTGATAGCTCTCGGGACTCCTTACTGGATGCCAGTCTTTCCAGCAAACAACTCTGCCACGTTCACCTTGTTTAAGGGCTCGCCTTCAAACACCACCACGCAGAGCAGGTTTTCCCCAACCTTGGTAACAGACCAACGCACAACATGCAGGTTGCACTTCATGCCCTCACGCTTTATCAAAAAACAACTACTAAAGGATATAGTTGAAAGGAAATAAACACAATTGCACATGACCAGAGCTCTGTCTGCATGGGTTATTTACGTACGAATTTGCAAATATTTGGGAAGCGCGGGCGGTGAGACCCACAGCTGGGGGTCGCGGGTTTCACGACTCACGCTCCTCTTCACATGTTTCACGGGTTTGTTTGCAAGTGCATGTGGCGACTGTAATCAGCGGATTTATTTGTTCACATGATTTATAATTCCGGAACTGCTTAATACAATTACTGTTCACTTCCTCAATGTGCAATGTACGCCATACTTTGCACAATTTTGGGGTTTTTAACTTGAAAGGTTCAAAAGTTGAATCGTGGCTCACAATAATTAGTTGCACATTGCATTTTGTATTGCTTCCAATATCTGTGGGCGATGTTTGATAACTTATTGATTAGAATCTTTACACAATAATGTTTGACAGTGCTTAAAACTACTTCATATATGAATGAGACATTCTGCTTATCTATATTGTATATGCTGTCAAATTTGCAGTTGCTATCATATCTGTGTCTTCCTCTACTCTGCAGTTTAATATGAAGCATGAAAATCAACCAACCTGATGACGAGTGCTTGTGTTGCAGTCGAAACGTGAGAATTTTATTGTTTTATATTTTTATTATTTTATTGTTTCCCTTCTACGTGGTGACTACCGAAAGAACCAAGAACATGAAAATCAGGTTGCACGGTTCTCCTTTAAACACACAGTGAGACCCGTGGCCTGTGGAAATCTGTAATATGAGCATTACACATTTACGGTTTTACATTTCATTGTATTTTAAACTGAAAACTGCGATAACATTCAGTATTAAAGGTCTTGACCTCTAACACTTATTTTTTCAACAGTATGCACTTAATAATGTCGAAGCTACAATATATTTCACTCGACCCAATTCTGTCAGGCATGTATGTAATGCTGGCCCGCATCCAGCAGTAGCTTGGCACACGAACAATTCTGCTCTGAACTGAATTTGCATTTTTAGTAGGGATTAAGGGTACATTACCCTTTGTATTTTTTTTTACGGACGAAACATTAACATATATATGCGATTTAGATTTTATTTTTTAAAGACAACAGTTTTACAAAAAATGCGTGTGATAAATGGCATCACAAAAACTCACTTCAATAGGTATGTTTGGTAGCTTACGTCCTGTTACACTGGTCTCACTGCAGTTCTGCACATCGTCACGTTTACACTGACACGGATACAATTCCAGATACAGCCAACACAAGAAGAGTACAGCTGGGATAACATAAGTGAGGCGTGTGTGGCTGGGTAAAACTATCTGCAGGCGTGGGGGAGTTTTGGAAAATATTTTGGCAAAACTAGCACCAAAAAAACTATTTTTGCCTCATTCAAAGCTCTGCGCGACTGCAATTGATCTTGATGGAACTATCCACGGCGTCGTTTGTGGTGTTAAAGAGGTTAGTGTTCGTAAAGTGACGTGTTTAAAATCCCACCGCCCTTCGAGTTGGTTTATAACCCATTGCAAGCCTTTGTTTCTTTTACGGGAGTGGCAGCAGCCAATGAAGTTGTCTACTGATGGATGTCCCTCCCGCCACTTGCCCATTGCGTGTTGATGTAATACGTCAAGCATATGTAAGAAGACACATACTCAAACGGTTACACAGGCGCAATCACACCTTTCTTTTACTGTTCAAACTGTATTTAGTGATTTGCATGAGGCTCGTTATAAAAAAACTGTCAAAAGAAACAACTACTTGATTTGACGTTATTCCTTTAAACCACAATTTTAATTTACTGCAGAGTGCTTCAGCCAACCACTGGATAATCTTCAGCCAACGACTTCCTAAAGTGAATGCATTGGGGACAATTTACTGTATTTAGAATCAATCACATCCACCCATGCTTGGTTGATAAAAACAAATGGGTACCAAATTAAGGAATACAGCTTCCATCACTATAACTACAGTACAGCACAATTTTTTTTTAAAGTGAAAACATTCACCCGCGGTGATTATATTTACATAATATTGTAATTTAGCCTGATACCATGCATTTTTAACACAATATTAAGTTCAGATGAAGCTACACACACATGTAGTCATGTTTTGTGTGCACACTGATGTGGGCACCATAGGACAATGCAGTAACATCCATGGCACACAAATGATATGCTCCCACATTGATGCTCTTCGCCTTTACCAACCCGCACTGACCAACGCGGTGTATGGAGGGCCTTGATCCAGCAGTGGATTGACAAAGGGCTGTGCATCTATATGTACCAAAAGTTCAACAAAAAATCATTGGAAAATATGCGAGGCAGCTTTACCCAGAGATTAATCTATGCCGGGTCTGTCTGCACCTGACACACCACATCAAGTATACCTCCGCTATGGCTGTGTCTATCAACCACGTGCCTCATGAGAACGTAAGCCCTAGATAACCTATACAACATTCAAAATATGGTTAGAGGTACTGTATTGTTTCTGCACATCACGTGCAATCGTTGCAAACATCACTTTTACTGTGCTTTAAAGGTTCGTAACCAAAGAAAATATATTAAGAAAAAATCCAAGATTAAACTAACGCCAAGTACCACGTGGCCTAACGTTCAGGTATTTAAATACTGTACTCTACATGGATTTCCCCACAAATACAATAAAACTACCGGTATTTGTATGCATGCAAAAGTACTTAGTGGCCATTGGGCAATTATTGTTAGCCATCGCTGATGTTGCCTGCCAGCTTGCAAAATAAGCGCTGGGAAAGCTTTGAAGATTACGCCACAATTTAGCAATATACTGTAGTAAGTGCAATAAAAAAACAGGGTGAAACATGTTGCCTTTACACTATGCTGTCAGCATCCATGTTAACCCATACGGTTTACTCATAATCCTGTACAGGGAAATTGGGTTTACAGGTCCATACGGTGTACAGCCGTTTTAATTCGGGCAAAAAAACATGTTTTTGTCTTTTAGTTTGTGTTTCTCCCTTGTGATGGGATTTTGTAGGATGAACGTTGAGATTTATAAGGTCACGGGGTGACCAATACGATCTGAATTGGTCTGTAATAAGGTAGGGCACTGATAAGGGGTTGACAATTGTATGTATGTCTTAAGTGGTTAAGGATACGCAGCACTGTACACGTCTTTAATCGAGCTTTCACATGCACGTATTAAACCACTTCAATTCACGTATAGATCTTATTTCATGCGAATTGTGCGACACGATAATAATTCCGTTGTAAGTTAAATCAATGTACAATCTCTGCCAACGCTACGCCCAAGATCAATATGACGAGTCATCCATTTAACAAATCCGCAAAAGAATAGCATAATGGTTGACCTTTAGGCATTAGCGTATTCTCACGTGCAATTTAGTTACATAACTGTGTGCATATGGTAAAATTAGATAATACTTTATATACAGTACATACTGTTGCATACCTGTCAACCCCGTATCAGTACCTATCTTATTACAGCCCAATTCAGACCTTATTGGTCACCCCCTGTCCTTATAAATCTCAACGTTCATCCTACAAAATCCCATCATATGGGAGAAACGCAGACAAAAACACATGCTTTTTTCCCCCACATTTAAACGGCTGTACGCAGTATGGACCTGAAAACTCAATGTCCCTGTACATTAATACGGGTAAACCGTGTGGGTTGACAGGTATGCTGTTGTACATTCGCTATTGAATATGTCTGTTGTCTGTTGTCCAGCAGAACGTGTGGCCATATTTTACGGTAGAACATCACGCAATATTTTTTTCAAGTACATTTTTGCAAAACGTGTTTTTCTACTTTTCTAAAGCGGAACCGAAATTTTGACAAATGTTGAAGTGAAGCTTGAAAGGCCATCGGATGAAGGGAGGCAGAATAGCCGGCCGTTATCGGAGTAGAAATAATTATAATTGTTCTAGAAGAGTTGACAATTGTTTTTATTTTGCATATCTAATCCAGTCTAAGCTTATACAGTATATATAAATACCAACATGTTCGATTTTGTGCCTCCCAAAATGGGGTTGATTTTTATTTAACTTGTAACAATCCATGCCCCACAAAACGCTTGTCTCTAGGGATGTTTGACGAGTACAGAATCAAAAAATTACCTGCGATTTTAAAGTCCCAAATAAACAAATTGTCAATTTTTCGCCCACCCCATCAAACGCGAAAGAATCTCGGTGGGCGAGGGTTGGCACGTCTTTGGATGTTTTTTATTTGTTATACTTAGGCCTATGAAAGTGCGTATCTGTAAAGGCGTTCAAAGGTTCTGAATGCAAAATCTCATAAAATTTCAATAGCTTCACTCCGCCCACCCCCACCTCCCCCGGGTACGTTTTGAAATTAGTTTGACGCAAAACATCTAAAGTGTGGCATAGTCCGCGACCAATGTACAGCAACGAGCGCCGGGAATAATACCAATGTTGTCTGTCATTTACTAATTAAAACGAGGCTGCAGCACTGTGTTGTGGGTCACAGTAAACACCAGACCGAGCGCGCGCAATCACGCAGAGAAGATTCTCACACTCCAATGTCAACACCGTCACGTGGCGCCCAGAGTCAGCTGCACAGCGGGCGAGACCATTACCGCCATAACCAAAACGCCGGGGAGGCTGAATCACGCAGAACCCATTGACATGGCAAGAATGGCATTGTCAGTACCATAGCATACAATACATATACTCATAAAAGATGTAACATACACTATTTATTTGGTTAATATAAAAAAAACGGTGGTATACAGCCACCAAAGTGAGTAGCCACATCCCCCCGTCCGCCCCTAGAGGGGGTTTAGTGGTCGCGCCCGGTGGGGGGGAGGGGGATGTCAGCTGACGACACCGGCCCCGGCTCGCGGACGGACGCGGGAGCTGCCGAGGCGTGCGTGGCCACGACGGGCGGCGGCGGCGGCGGCACGATAATTGTCGCAACGCGAACGAGAAACACCACCGATACGGGGCCGCGGCGATAGCAGAGCAAAATATAAAGCGTCTCTGCCGAGTCACCGCTGCACGCCACCCTTTGTCGTCTCGCACGGGGCAGAAGCGTGGCCATGGCGTCAGTAAAGGTGGCCGTGCGGGTGCGGCCCATGAACCAGAGGTAGGCGGCGTGGGTGGTGTGGGCTCGTCCCCAGGTACAGCCCTTGTTCAAGCCCCTGTTCAAGCCCTTGTTCAAGCCCTTGTTCCAGCTCGGGGCCAGACCGTCTTCACTCTCGATTATTGATTTCCCACGCGTAAGTCCCGTAGACCGTCTTAGATCCAGCCGAGGGATGGTTTTGCCGGACCGGAGGCAACGTGCCCGAGACGGCGCCCACGATGGAGATGGAGCGACGAGTTGAGCACAGGCAGGAGCGAAATTGTGCGTGGAATCATCGTGCGGGCAGTGAGGAACGATCTGCGGAAGTATACTCTTTGGTTCAAATCCGGATCTCTGCGGAAGCTTTCGTCTAACGATCGGTAGATACTTATGAATGATGGTGAAGAGTTAAGTCCCGTTTAAATTGACAAAAGTTGACTCTCACAGATATCCATCCTACTGCCCAGTAATTTAGTAGAAAGTTACTGTGAAACGGAAGTGGAAACTAGTCCCCGTTTCATTTAGATCACGATGATTATGGTTTTGTGGTACTTCAACACGCCATGGTGATCAAAGGTAAACTCTGACAATGAATTACAGTACTATCAGGGGCCATGCGTTACCTCCTGCAATAACATTTACAAACGGTCTTTTTAATCAAGGATAGCTTCATCGATGTAACAGCATGATAAACCCTTGTGTTGCAATTTACATTGTTCGTGCAATGTTTCCACGATGCCTCTTAATTTAGATTTTAGATAATTTTTTGTTGATCTATACAGAGCACTTGCTGCTCAGTATTTCCTATTTCGCAAGTCTACCTCGATGGGTTCAAGAGTCATTGGTTAAATAGGCACTTTGGAAGGCACTTCAGTATGCCTTTATCGTTGAACAGCCCAATATATTATTCACATGGCTCATTTTACACATCTAACCACATTAACCAGAAATGTTACAGAGCTACAGTCATCGTTGATATGTGTACTGTTGATAGGTAAGATACATATTTGCACATTTGATATGGAATGTATATTTAAAAATTTCATGATATCTTATAGTATATTACACGTAATTTGTGATGTCTAAATGCGGTAAAATTACATCGCTCATCTATTTCTTCGCCCTGTTTTTGGAACAAGGTTACTCGTTTGTTATCATCAACACACATTTTTCTTTTCAGAGAAAAAGGCTTGGAGGCCAAATTCATTATCCAGATGGAGGGTAAAAAGACTGTAATAACAAATTTAAAGGTTAGTATCCATGCTGTACACGCCAAACTGCGTTACATATTGTCATACAAGTTACTACTGCGTAGGTTTTCAGGGTCGTGCTGTATACATCTACCGATGTTGTTTTCGAGTTGTACCCTGTGGTTTTTTCTCATGTCACTTGATGAAGTAGCTCCCATACACGTGAAGCGAAATGTTTGACAATCATACCGAACGGCGGTGCAGTATACAATGCGAAAACATTCGGAGAGCTGCCATGCATATTAAACGTTTTAATTGAAAATATTCGTTTTGCGTGATTAATATATTTCTTCTGTTCATTTTGGTTTTAATCTGAAAAGTGTTTCTGTGTATCTTTTCTAGACTCCAGAGGGCAGCACTGGAGATGTGAGCCGAGAGAGGTTAAAGGAGTTTACTTACGATTACTCCTATTTTTCTGTTGACAAAAGGAGCCCCCAATTTGCTTCCCAGGAAATGGTGAACTTTCATTTTCATTGTATTATGGCTGTGGTTGTAAAGTATCCATATACAGTAGTCCCTCGGTTAAGTGTCATCGGTACACGGTTTTTCGGTTAACGTTTCACCTACCCCATAGGACCCCGTGGTTTCGACTAACGTTAACATGTCGACAAACGGTATGTTTACGTTATGTATGCGGTCGACAATTTCACCCAATCCCAGCGCGCGTGAAGTGAGGCTGAACCATGCCCTCAGCCAATTAGCGACGGCCATTCATGAGCTTTTAGACCTCGACTGGCTTTGTTTACATTATAGGGACTCCTTACGAACTAGTTCGTTTCCAGACGTCTGTTGGTAAAGTCGATTTGTTCATAAGTCCAACTTTACTCCTGTCGTGTCCAAACATGTTGTACGGCATGTACACTAAACAGGGGGAAGGATGTAGATGCCACTGGTTCTTCATCTTCTGCAGATGTAGATGCCACCACCGCCATCTATTGCGCGGCGGTTGAACTTACAACTCTTGGTCCGAACAGGCAATTTGACATACGGACAGGTTTGTTCATATCTCTGAAAGTTTGTAAGTCGAATGTTCATAATTAGAGGAGTCCTTGTATATTTTTTATTTTTGGCAGTGGAAAACAGCTCTCTTGCAAACTTGGTGATTTTTACGTATTTTAATTATAAGTGAATTCGATTAAGTTAATTTGGTTAACAGCTTTTGTGGAATGGATTAAAAACGTTAACCGAGGTACTGCCGTAAATAAGCTTTACGTTTTTGCGAAAGTACAAGCTTTCTAGTTTGAATGTAATACCATAAACACACACTTTAAAGTCAAAATCTGTTAAAAAAATTCAAGATGATAATATTTGTTTTGTTTAGGTGTATAAAGACATAGGCATGGATGTACTGGATGCTGCTTTTGAAGGATACAACGCTTGTATATTTGCATATGGACAGACCGGCTCTGGCAAGTCATACACAATGATGGGAAACCCAGTAAGTGCCCATACCTGCTACTTTGGACTTTGCAGATAATGCTTTGAGGCTTTTCTACTTGATTTAGTTTGCTGTTAGAGGTCTTTCATTAAAGTGGAGCTAATTATATTTGCATTTCCCTAAGCTATGCTTTGTTTTGTAGTAATTGCAATATGGTATGACAAATTGTTTTATAATCTTTAATCCTGCTGCATGTGTGCAGATTGTAAGCGGATTTTTTTCATGCTTTGGCATTTTCCTGCATCATCGGCAATTTACGCATAAAGCACAAGTTTTCTCATAGTTTCTTCTTTCTGGCATGTTTTTAAAAAATGAAATCAGGGAGACCTTGGGTTGATTCCACGTATATGTGAAGGGCTGTACAGAGGTGTAAGTCAGCATATCTCAAGCGGAGCTTCATATCGCACTGAAGTTAGGTAAGTTACGACTTCCTCGTTTTATATGCAACTCCACCCGGACACGATGACAAATCATTTGTATATCATAGCAACAATCCGTGAACTTTTTATGACAACATTGTGCCCATAGCTACCTGGAAATCTATAATGAGCGAGTGAGGGACCTTTTAAGGAGAAAATCTTCAAAAAGCTTCAACCTGAGAGTACGAGAACACCCTAAAGAAGGTCCATATGTTGAAGGTTTGTTTGTTTTTTATTCCTACGTTAAAGACGGTTGACAAATTTGCTTTTAAAACACTGATATGAATGGATTCTATTCTGAAAACAAGTTTTTTAAACATTCCAGTATCCTGTAACTGCATTCGGAATGTAATATTTATATAGTATTTATATGACTTAATTGAGTAAATCCACAAAGCGCCATAGCCCCCCCCTCCCCTACTGTAAAACTACTGCAGACTATGCTTTTCTGTGATACAGTGCCTTTGTGATAGCTTTGTGCTACTAGAATGACGCGGATGCCAAATGTACTAAGGGTTTAATTTGAATATATTTGGTCCAAAATTTCACAGATTTGTCAAAGCACCTTGTGCAGAACTATAGTGATGTAGAAGAACTGATGGAAGCTGGGAACATAAACAGGACGACAGCTGCCACAGGGATGAATGATGTCAGCAGCCGCTCTCATGCCATTTTCACCATCAAGTTTACACAGGTTAATCCTCAATTATGACTTAATTATGAATCAACTTTTTCCCTTTGCATAATAATGCATATTTGTACTTGATATATCATGTTTGAAAGTGTACATTACTTGCAGTTGCTTTTTCAAATATAGCAAGTATGAAGCAACTGAAATGCAAAGTGTGTTGGTGTTTTTGAACATAGGTGTCAATAATTGCACCGTGACTGTGCAGTGGTTCGCACATTGCACTGTTAACTCGATGATCTGAGTTTGATACCCAGCCATAGTTAACATCAATGGCAAGTAAACTCTGAACTCCTTTATCTACCCCCACTTATAAGCAAGGTGCAATATGGTCGTACTCCTTCAATTACTAAGATGGCATCTCTGTTTAAGTAAAGATATTGAGATATAAATAGTTATTACACATAATGCTTATGTTGTACATACAACCCAGTGGAGCATGTGACTAGTCGTTTGCTGCATTCCATGCCAGGCCAAATTCGACGCCGAAATGCCACGGGAAACGGTGAGCAAGATCCACCTGGTGGACCTGGCTGGGAGCGAGCGTGCTGATGCCACTGGGGCCACGGGCGTGCGGCTCAAGGAGGGAGGGAACATCAACAAGTCTCTCGTTACGCTGGGCAATGTCATCTCCTCGCTGGGTAAGGGGGACTGCAGGGGCTAGCTACACACAGTGTTGTATTACATGGAAGCAGAGATAGCCAACCATGTGGTTATGGTGTCTTATATCAAATTGTTTTTATAATGACCTGAAATATGATGATATAAATATGTATTTACAGGTACATTGTTAAATAATGCCCACACTCCACATTGCACAGAGATGCCCTCATTCAACAGTTGATTGACAAAGGGTTATAATTGTCATGATTATTTTCTGTTATATATATGTTTACAATAAGTTACTATCATTTTTATTTTGAAACGCGTTTTGGGGCATAAGGGTGATGCGATGGATAACACACTGCATTATGAAGCCAGCTACCTACATTTGGTTCCCGGACATGGCTAATATTGGTGGCGAGTGATATCTAAACTGGTCCAGGGCCCACCCTTTAATTTTATCAACCTGCATTTACCCTGTGTGGTGAAGTATGCTCAAACAACAATCGTGACCAAATATGGCATGGGGAGTTATTCATGCAGCATTAGATTGGCAAATGACTTTTAAATCATGTTTTTATGCATTTTTATTTTTCTGAAATTATGTTTGATAGATCAGCTAATGGCCATTCATCAATGCAAACAAAAATAATTTTTTGACACCGCATGGAAAAATAATCTTGGAAAAAAATGTGCCTTTCTCTTTGTACCAGCCGACCTCTCCTTGTCCTCAAGTTCTCCTCAGGGAAGAAAGAAACAAGTCTTTGTGCCTTACCGTGACTCTGTGTTAACGTGGCTGTTGAAAGACAGTCTTGGGGGAAACTCCAAGACTATAATGATAGCCAGTAAGTGGGCATTACTCACATTTCTTGCTTTCCCACATGTTGAAAAATGACATGCATCAATATTTACTTGTTTTTAACTAGATTGTCTGCATTTTTATGTTAATTTAGAAATGCAACACATTCGGAACTAACATTACACTCAAAAGTATATAATATAGGTGACGTTTTGGGCAATGGCTCTCATTTGCGACACATAGAGATGCCAGAGAGGTAGCGTTGTGGTTGTGCACCACTGGCAATGCAGTATCACCAAAAATTGTGTTACATGTATTTAGGTATACTACTATTGTGTAGGTTTTTGCAGTAGTGCTGTGAATGCCTCATGTATTTTCAGGATGTAATGGGTGTTGTTGGGCATGTTGTGCGACGTTTGGCTCGACATGTTGAAGCTCCCAACACACGGTACAACCGAAAAGCACACTGGAGAGCTTTAACTACTGTTTACCGATATACATTAACTTACTTTTCTTTACAGCAATCTCACCAGCCGATGTCAACTATGGAGAGACACTGAGCACACTTCGCTATGCAAACCGAGCCAAGAACATTATCAACAAGCCAACTATCAATGAAGACTCCAATGTTAAGCTTATTCGAGAGCTACGTGCAGAGATTGTTCGCCTTAAAGCACTCCTCACTCAGGGAAACCAGGTGTGTTGACCGTTATTTTAGACTTTGCATTGATTTGTTTTGGTGATTTTCCAAACGTAGTAAAACTTAAGTTCCTTGGGTTGAAATTCCATTAGAGAACACTTCGCACAACACAGAACGCACCCGTTATAACGCAGAACTCTCCCGTTATAATGCGGAACTCTCCCGTTATAACACGGCTTCTGAGCGGTCAAGGACGAACTACTTTTTTGACCTGCCTGGCTGAGCGGTATGATACAGTGCACAGAATGATAAAGTAACGTGGCGGTGTACCCTGAATTCTTTGTCCTGCCATCTTACTGTGTGTACATAGTATCTCGCCAAACTTTATCGTTGTATTATTTATGGGGAAATTGTTTTCGCTTAACTGTGGAACTTTTCTGGAACGCATCTACCGTGTTTAACGAGGACTTCCTCATTTTTGTGCCAAGCAGTAAACTGAGAAACATAACACACCAGCTATCATGTAAAGTATTGCCTTTGCTCATACAAGTGTAATGGTACACTTTAACCCGTAAGTACAATAACGTGGCTATCGTGCACAAATCTCTCATTTACAGAATTCACTACTGGATTCACCCACAGCACTAAGCATGGAACAAAAGTTACATCAAAATGAAGCTCGTGTAAGTGTGATGTCTTTTTCTGTGTTAAACTTGGCGATTTAATTGTACAAGATGTAATAAACATTCATGTAAGCAGATACAGTGGCCCTGGAACGATGCATCAATTCCTTGATATTTAATTTTTAAGTTCATGATCCAGTGCAGCAGTTGCGCAATGAACACGGCAGCCTGAGTTCGATTCCTGGCCACACCTAGCATTCATATTGAGTGATTTCTGAACAAGTCCTGGGCTCCCCCTTTACCAACCCACACTGACCAACAAATTTAACCCCCTATGACCGACACAGCGTGGTGAGGCCTTTATTCAGCAGTGAATTGACAAAGAAATGTGACGTTCATGATACATGCATAAAATTGTGTCAATCCATATATGTTTTATATGAACTAATTGTTTTCATTAAACCACTAGAGGCTGCTACATTAAGCAGTGTTATAAGAATATTTTTATTGAATCGTGACCCTGATTCGTACTGCAGTTTATCAACCTATGAGAGGTAAATCAATACACTCCTCTAATCCAATGACTTGTTAAATGTATAAAGAATATTATTTCATACACTTTTGTATTATAATAATCATGTTTTTTTTATTTTAGGTTGAAGAACTCACGAAAGAATGGACAAATAAGTGGAATGAAACACAGAATATCTTAAGAGTAGGTGTAACAGTACTAAATATAAAGTGATGACAATAACAGTAATTTTCAGAGTACATAACATGGTTCAATACAAAGCATTTTTTTCTGCTATATTAGCATAGCCATTTCCAGAATTAAATAAACCCTTTATGCTTTTTATTATAATGGCAATAGTTAACCAACCTAATAGGTTGTTGGTACTTAAATTCAGTGGAATATTTAATTAGTATGTATATTTTTTAGTAATAATTCTAACTTTGACTTTCAGGAGCAAACTTTGGCCTTGAGAAAGGAGGGCATTGGAGTTATTCTAGACTCAGAGTTGCCTCATCTAATTGGCATTGATGATGACCTGCTGAGCACAGGGATCATACTCTATCACCTGAAGGTAGGTGTCTGCTGGGTTTGTAAAAATACAATGTGTTACATACTATAATGGTAATTTGGGTTGAGTGCTTTTGATTGTGTAGCTCGATAATCTTTTTGTTGTATATTACAGGAAGGAAGGACATTTGTTGGGGTAGATAATGCGGAAAATGAGCAAGACATAAGTAAGTGACTATGCGGTCAATTTATAATTCTGTGATGCTGCTACGTGCACAGTCATGTCTGTTGTTATATGTACTTGTGACATTTTATGTTTTTTATTCTGGTTTCCTCAGTCTTGCATGGTCCAGACCTTGAAAGCGAACACTGTGTGTTTGAGCATTTGAAAGGCGTAGTCACCCTTGTCCCTCGTGACAATGCCCTTTGCTCGGTGAATGGAGTACAGATCCGTCAACCTACACAGCTCAGCCAGGGTAACTAATTAGTTGTGACATTTGTTTGCACATGTATTTATCACCATACATTTTAAATAGGTCAAAACGCTTCACGTTTTGCCTCTTTCCTCACACTGCTTAACTGTGCTGTGCCGTTAAGTCCCATCGTGTTTTTCCCTTAAATTCTTATAGTCTGTTTTTATTCAAGAAACGTGTTAACTTTTGTTGATAATAGCTTCAAAAATGCATTTTGTTGCTGGCCGCTTGGCATTTTTGGCCTTTGAGGCTCTGTTTAATACCGAGATATAAAAACAAATGCAAGTACAATGATGCATGCATTTGGAATTATTAAATAAATTGAAAGTTCTCTGAAAGGGTAGAGTAGTGATATTAACCTATAATGTAAAAAATAACAATTTTAAGTCAATGTTTTTGCTTTAGGTGCTGTCATCCTGTTAGGTCGAACAAATATGTTCAGATTCAATCATCCCAAAGAAGCTGCAAAACTCAGAGAGAAAAGGAAGGTTTGTCTTTGTTGTTTTTAATTCTGCTTTAAAAGCCAGCTTTGTAAAGCACATTGAATACCATTATTGACATATTTACTTAGAACGTAGACTACATAACTCAGCCTGGTATGAAGTCATAAAAAAGCGTTTTTACTGAACATTTTGGAAGCTTTACTATGAATGTGTAAATTCCAGAGAAATTCTGATACTTTTTACTTGTGTCAAGGACGGCAGATGCGGCTCTGCATTACAATATTTTGCAAAGTGGGATACTGTCGACACTCGGCCTGTCAATGACTGACCTTACAGCAGTTAGATGTCTCCTTTTATTTGAATATATTGCAGAGTGGATTACTGTCAACACTCAGCCTCTCAATGACTGACCTTTCAAAGTCATGTGAAAACCTTTCAGCAGTCATGCTCTATAACCCTGGGTAAGTATTACAGAGAGCTTGCCTTCTCAGCTTAACTGGCTGTAAACTGATAAATTGCAAAAAATGTCGAAGTATTTTGACAAATCCATGAATTATGCTAAAGTTTTAGATTAATGTACCCGTACATAAATCTGTGTATTAGTTATGAATTTGTTAAATGTTACATTTTGCCTTGCTCTGTATATTCTTTACATATAAACTGACATCGCTGACGCCCAATGTATTGCAGATTTATTTTTCTCTTACCTTTGCTTTGCTTTACTTCCTTTTGGCAGTCTGGACAATTTAAGGAGGCCTTTATTTGTAAGGTAGATATAATATGTTCGCATTAGTTGTGTTAAATTTATTTTGGTTTACTGTTCGGCGTAAGTTAGTGTCAAAATATGTTTTTATTTAAATGGAAAACTGAACTGTTTATTTCTACGTAAAGAAGCTTGATCATAATTAAGTTATAAAGCTGATGTATAAAGCTTCAAATGTCCAAAATGTACAATTATAAATTGCAGTTCTGAAGTAACTTGTGCATGTTGGGTAAACAGTCCAATAGCGCATGTTGCCTTTGTAGTAATTTAGTTGATAATAGTGTTGGTTTGAAAACGCATAAATACCCAAGCCCCTGTCATGTGTACGATTTAATATGTCTCTCTGCCACTTGCTGGCATGAAATTACATACTTGGTATTGTCTATTGCCCTATGGTCAGCGGGTCAACATTCTATTCACTCCTTGAGAAGAATGGACCCGTAGCCAATAATAATTCGGACAGTGAATTACTAAAGAGCCAGGCACAGAAGCTGTGAGCAATGATGTGTAAGGGGCTACATTTTATGTGGCCGTGATTTGTCACCAGGCCCAGTACTTATTGTAATTGAAGATCTCCACACTAGCACCCTCGGTAGCTAAAGGGATGTTGCGTTTAACATAGTTATCCTGCTGTGCAGGTTTACACATTTTGCTGCCATTCATTTCAACATTGCTGAGACATTGATTTTTAGTTTGCACTCTTATTTTTGTTTAGCCTTTGCTCAGTGTAAAACAGAAGCATACAAGGGTGCAGTAGAAATAAACAGTTTCCCTTGAGATTGCATTTTCTCACTGTTGTTTGCAAACTTGTTAATTTTTTATGTTCTTGATCTACATTTTGTTATGAGAGTGCTCATAAGTCTTTGTCATGGGATGCTGAAAGTTGTGTTTTATTATTCCGTTAAGTTGAACAACCTTTTCTGATGTACCCTTTGTGTATATGTAATCATTTGTGTACACTTATTATTTTATTGTTTCCCTTCTACGTGACTTTATCCAAAGAACCAAGAATATGTGCACACTTTATCAAGTTATTTACAGTTTAGATACATATAACGTCTTAGTCATTTGTTGATATTACATAATTAACATGAATTTTGTTTATATATGCAAATGTTAATATTTTGCAACTAAGCTCTTTGTATGACGTTAGGCTTGAATTTGAAAGGCAACACAAGGAAGAAATGGAAAAACTAGAACATAAAAGGTTTGTGAGCACTACATTATAATATACATATTTAAAATGTCTCACTACATTTATCAATGGTGTGTGCCTCGTATTCATATGATTTTGTACCTGTTTGTGCAACACTAGGAAAGAAATAGTGGAAATGGAACAGAAGCACAAAACTGCAAAGGCAGAGCTGGAGAAAATGCAGGAGGAGATGGAGAGCCAGAGGGTGGAAACCCAGAAGGTCCAGCTACAGATAAAGCGGCAGGAGGAAAGCCTGAAGCGTCGCAGCATGGACATTGAGAGCAAGTTCAAGGACTTTTTGGTTGAAAAAGAGCGGTTTGAGGAAGAGAGGCAGAGAGGCAAAGAAGAGATGGAGTTACAGCGGCAGAAGCAAGAGGAGGAGATCCGCACAAGGGTGGAAGGTGAGATGGAGCAGCTGAAGGAACTACATGAGCATGAAAAGACAGCCCGGGTGGAGATCCTGCAGGAACTAGAGAGGCTCAAGAGGGAGAAGGAGCAACAGAGCGCAAAACTTGAAATAGAGAAGAAGAGATTGGAAGAGCAAGAGCTGGAACAGCGAGCCCTTGTGGCGAAGCTTGAGATTGAGTTGCGGGAGAAGCACGAGATGATACAACTTCTAAAGAGAGATGGACACCGCAGGGTGGAAGAGGAGAAGCTAATTTTGGAGGAAATCAGGACAGTGCTTCTGGAAGCTAAAGAAAGTAGCGACGGTAACAGCGAATGTTTGGAAGATGTTCTCAGCGCCAAGCAGATGTATATGGATTTAAAAAGTAGGCAAGTGCAGACTTTGCTACTTTTGGAATCTGAAATGTGTGGGGAGCGGGAAATGCTTGACCTTGAGATTCAGACAGAACGAAATGTCCTGGTGGAATTAAAGAAAACATATCAAGATCATGCAATTCATGTCGAGCAAAACGGATCTGAAACGGCAATGTTGATAACGTCTGAAATTTCTGCGGAAGAAGAGAAAATTCGACACTTGGAACAGAGGATTCTTGCAAAGGAGAGGCAACTAGAGTGGTTGACAGGACAGCAGCTTCCTGCCATAATTGAGGAGAGGCAGAGGGCCAGTGAAATCCTGGAGCGGGGGACACCAAGTCTGGACAACACCCTTTACCAGATTGAGCGGGAGCTGGAGGAGATTGATGACAAGCTTCTGCAGCAACGTGCGAGCCGTGACCAGCTGCTACAGCTGCAACAGACCTACGAGTTTACCACCAACGTGGCTCGCCAGGTATTCCCCCTGCATAATGCACAGATGCAATTGAATTACATTTTAAGTTGTGATGTATGCAGTACAATAACACCTGAGATAGTTTTTCCTCGTAATCCTAACTAAGACATTATACACGTCATATATTTACTCCAGAAAAATGCGGTTGGCTTTAAAAACTTCCATGACCAATTAACACAGTTGTGTATGCTTTTAAAGCTTATATTTTGTGAAGGAGGATCTTTTTTTTAAATGTCAATTTTCTTTTGCGTTAATTGCAGGAAGAGAAAGTCCGTGAGAAGGAGAAGCAGATATTGCAGTCGAAAGAGAAGCAGCAGCAGGAGGAGCTAGAGCAAGCCGTGACGCGACTCATGCACAAGCACTCGGCTCTGCAGCGCGTCAAGCATGAGGAGCGGCGCCGGCTGGAGGAGAACAAGCGGCAGCTGGCGGAACTGTCCGAGGGTCAAGAAGCTGGCCTGTGTGCCAGTCTGGAAGCCCAGGAGAAAGAGCTGCAGCAGGATGGAGATCGGTGCGTACTGGTATTTGCCATCTGGGAATTGGAAATAATGAAAGAAGCTTAACGCGCAAGTGACTTTTGGCCTTTCATATTCTTCTGTGAGTGTTTAGACTGGAGCAAGAGATGCAGCGGTTGAAGCTAACCATCCGGCAAAGAGATGATAGCCATGTGAGAAGTGCCAGCTTTTCTGAGGACAAGTTTTCATCCCTGAGCAGCCCCCTTAATGACAACGCCAGCCCCATCAAGGCGCACTCACCTTCACTTCTTACTTTGGAGCGAGAAAGGTGTGCATAGTCTGTCTATTTTTTACGGTCTATACAGTGTACTTTACCTCCAGAATCGTACTTGGCAGAGCGTCATGATATTCCATACTTTTTGCCATTACACTTACATGTATTTTGGGTAAATTTAGTTCACTCATCCTGTCTTTAATTGTGTGTCTATTAAAAATACTTTGCTAAGTGCCCTTCGTCATGTACAGTGAATAGAATGCTAGCAGCACTGAACCACATGGGATGGAGATAGCGTGGGAGGCCTTAATCCAGCAGTGGATAGACTGATGAAGTCAATGTGCGAGTAGCAGAATAAGTAAAATGTTTATTTGTGTGCAGTATCGCTGTTTTTGCTGTCGGTATCCTATTATAATTGGAAGTGTGGGCTACTGCATTTGCTGCTGCAGGCTGAACTCTGTAATTGAGGAGGAGGTGAGGCGGAGACTGCAGGAGGAGAAGCACAGTACCTCCCTGGCATCTTCCCCCGAGCCAAGTCAACAGCTTGACTCCTCCTGTTCCACCGATGGCTCAAAGGCAAATGCATAATTAACCTTATACCTGCTCATAATTAAAATTCATCGCACTGGATTGCTAAAGTACAAAATACGTAATGCATGTGTATAAACTAACGAGGTGGCACATTTTGTAACGGCCCTGGTTGGGTATTAATGTTTGTTAGGAAGGACCAGGGGTTTGTCATGTTGATGATTTTTAGGTCGTATGTGGTATTTTTTCACTGTTCCAGCATTCCATGTCATGATGTTTTATATCAGTTTGTTTATGGTCTCATCAGACAGATGAATTGTGCCAAAATGGTACTTTTTCAAGAACAATGACGTATGAGGTATGTAATGGGCAGTTAACAATATTGTTTGTTTTAAAATTATCAACGCTTAATTTCAGGCTAATTTAATTGAACCACTGAATATATGTCATGCCGCTTATTGAAAAAAATCGAAAAAGGGAAATGTAGAGGGTTTTTGTCCTAATACGGTAAGTGGTTTGTAATATTTATTCTGCATGGTGCATCATTTAATCTCATCAGGAATTAAGTACGAATAAAATCTATAATTGCAATGCTCGGCATCTTGGGCGAGTAATCATGCTCACTGCGTACAACTTACTACATTCAGTAGGGAACGAGAGTTTAATTATGCATCTGTGTGCAAATCCAAACACAAAGAGAGATTTGATAGACAAATGGATATACACTCCCTCAAAATTTTGGTCATGAAAATAATCTGTTCCCTTTATCGTTCTAAATTTTCAACTCTAATGAATGCAGCTTCGTGTACTCGTTTTGATTTAAATAAAATGCATTTCATATATGACTTGTTCGAGCTTTATGTGCATTGTCAATATGACCGTGCTTTGGTGTGATATTTTATTTTAGTAAACTACATTGTCCCCAGGATTAGCAGAACCAAAAAATGATTTCCTTACCTATTTATAAATGTGCCACCTCTTGTAATAGTTCTTTCACACGTTTGCGAATTGTCTTTGCACAGCGAATATTGTCTAGACCTCTGGATATGGACATCTCCGCTGTGAAAGAGCCACTAAAAGTTTCAATTCCGCGTTACGTCCTGCGTGGTCAGGGAAAAGCTGAGCACTTCCAGTTTGAAGTAAAGGTACTTCCTTTTTATTGCAATTTTGTATATCAATATCTGCATTGTTACATTTGTAAGATTGCAGTAAGAATGTGATCTACCTGTTAACAATATGCGTACAAAGTGTCTTCAACAAGTCTGTAAAGTTACAAAGCTCATCAAATTATCTTCATCAGCGATTAAGCCTTCATGTGCAATATTTAAGAGCTATGCAAATGTATGAAAAAAGGTTGTGTTGCATGTGGTTGACCGACTTGTGTTGCAGGTCACGGTGTTGGGGGAAACGTGGTCAGTTTTTCGACGATATAGCCGATTTAGAGAAATGCACAAGCTCATGAAAGCTCGATATCCCGAGGTGAAACATTACACCTACACGACATGATTCGTTTCAGAAGTAGCTTGGTATACAAGCATTACGAAATGAGTGAAATGCTTTGCAATATTTCTGGTCATTTTCTTCGCTTGTAATTTGTAACGTAATGCAGCACATAGTGAATATCATTTATCTGCACTGACCTATGGCTGTTCTGTCTTGCAACTGAATAGTAAAGGAATAATCTTCTTTGGTTCTTTCGGTAAAGTCACGTAGAATGAGAATAAAATAATTAATTGATAAAATAAAATAACTCAATAATATTATTGTGTTATTATTGTGTTATTTTATTTTATCAATTTATTATTTTATTCTCATTCTACGTGACTTTACCGAAATAACCAAAGAAGATGAATCATTGCAGTCACGAAAGCTTTAAATCGAAAAAGTAAAGGAATAACTTTGTTACTGATTATAATTTGTGATTTTTATTTGTCTTTAATTAGGGTTGCAGAATTTTCACTTTGTTTTCAGGAGCTTATCTGTTCGTTTGTGAAAGCACGTGTTTTTTTCCACTAGGTGGCAGAATTGGGATTCCCTCCGAAGAAGCTGTTTGGGAATAAAGATGAGCGAGTAATAGACCAGAGACGGGCCCAATTGGAGGTACCATATACTTGTCACTACTTGTTAAAAAAATTTGTCACTTAGCTAAGCGTGAGGTTGTGTATATTTTCAACATTAGTCATAATTATATAACATGTATTTATTTTATTTATTTCAGTAAATAAGGCTTCGAGCAATCTTTAGGATTGTGATTTAATTTGAAGCAAAACATAGATAATTATTGCCCATGTACTATACTCTTTGGTTCTATTCGGTAAAGTCACTGTACTGTTTTTGTTTTTTTCAAAGAAAATACCATAATGTTGTTCTCCATGCTGCAGACTTACTTGCGGAACTTTATCGCGATCATGCTGAGAATCCCAGAGTCACCCCTGAATCTGCAGACAGCAGGAGCGACACTGTCCAAGTATACAGTGTGTGAGGCAGTATCCTTCTTTAGGAAGGGCGTCTTTGACTCGAGCAGCCATGGGACAGGATGACGTTGCTGGGAGGTGTGTTTGTGGCCTCTGAAAATGTATATATGTTCAATATATTTAAGGTTTTGAAGAAGAAAAAAAGTACTCTTGTCGGCACTTTCAAGCCATCTCAAACCTAACGGGCTTCCTGTACAGGCCATATCATTGAAGGTCTGAATTCCTCCGTGCAATATTCTTGCGAGCACTTTTTGTATTCTGTACAATGTTGACCCCAGGTTACCTTGTATGCTGTGGTCTTGGTTAACAGTTCTCAGAATTTTTGTTGTGTTCTGGTTAATATGACGTGTGAACGCCTTAAGAAGAAATATTGCTTTCTTCTCTGAATGTGGTTGTGTGTTCCTGCCTGGATAAACTTGCCATTTGTCTTGACGTTACAAGTCGTTTTTGTATAATACAATGTAAATGCTGACCAAAGGGCAAGCAAACTATTGGTGATCACTTGAAACTGTAAATATACGTCCTTCATATAGTTCAAAGAAAACATTTTAACTCGCATTTGGAAGTGTTGCTGGTGTGATGTATCAGATAAAAAAAAAAACATGTCATGAATAGCCCCGTATGAAGTATATATTTGTGATCTTTATGTAGGTCGTAACTTACCTTTTTCTTTGCATATCACACATCAAGTTTGAAACACATGTGAGCTTGCCTGAGAATTTAAGTGATACAAAATGAAATGGCATATTTATAGGCGACCTAGATTTGTTAACACGAATATTCATGTAATTATTTTACCTGAGAAAGCGGAAGGCATTTTCATGCTGGAAAAAGAAACAGTAATTACTCAGATAATCTTAGCAATTTTATTTAAATAAAATAACCTCAGTTTATAAGATCAATGCTGTATTTTGTTGAAGTAATTTCATGAAATATTTACAATAAATTTATATAATTTGGTATGCGCGTACTGTGTTCTTTTCTATCTACCTCGTAAAATGTGCCACTTGATTGCAGAGCTTTAATGGGCCTATGAACGTAGGATGTCATTGTATTATTTTTTACGGTCTAAACTGTGCACAGTTTTAACGATACCTTACGGTCTTATTCGTGTTATTCTATCATCATAAGCGATGCCTTTGTGGCGGTGACTTGGCCCAGTGGTAGAGCAGTCGCCGCGTATTGCAGTCGGTTTTCGAATCCGGAAGTCCGCCCTTCCCGTACGCTTCACAGTGGACGTTAAAGATCCCCTGATCTCATTTGAGGAGGCCATTGTGTGCCAACATCGTGGTCCAAATTTGCTAATCCTAAACAATAAAGCAAATCACTGAATGGTGATTACACACAGGAACATTGCCCCCTATTTTGCAACTATTGCAGACTCAATGCCTTCTTGATGGCCCTGCGCTATTAAAACGGTGTGAATACCAAATGCATTAAATTAGTATTTATACGTGTTTTATATTAATATACAAAATGCTAAAACGTCTTATAGTAAATGCAATAAATGTGCATGTACCCATTTGCATATTTTGGTATAATGCAGCAATACTTGGTATCGGTTGGAGTGCTTTTGGAAGGTCGAGCCTGATAAGTAATATACCAATGTGCCTAAAAAAAGGTGTGTGGTCAGGAACAAAAAATAAAGAACAATTGAATGGAGAGATACATGCTCGGAATTACACCGAGGGACAAATATGAGCATGGATCAGAGGACACGTAGGTTAACAGCACTCACATGGAGAAAAGTGGGTTTGGTCAGGGTATGTCTGCTAAATGGGATGGTGGCTTATGGTCGAGAATAATAACGGAGTGACAGCCAAGAAATGGAACGTTCCTGAGAGTACGCCCACCTTGGAGATGAAGTGATGAAATCAATGTGTGTGCAAGTGCTAGATGGATGATTGTATTTGCAGGATCGTGAGAGATGGTGGTGGCTTGGCGAGGCCTTCACTGAGCAGTGAATTGACCATGGCAGATGATGATGGTGGCTTGCTAAAATTATTTATTGTACAATGCCATCTTTTCTGCTGGCTGGTTTGGGATTGTTCATCGTCTGTCTTGATCCGAAATGTATTTTTTTTGTGATTTGTCATTAGTGTATAGCGTGGATCTAAGGCTGGTGTTTCATCTGCGCCATCCTACATGACGTTTTCTTTTATTGCGAAGCCGTGGAAAACCAATTAAAAATCTGTCCTTTGCGTTGCAAGTGACCATTTATTTATATTTTGCCTTGGCCGACGTGCCGCGGTGGTTGTCGGACCAGCTGTCGCTGTGCGGCCACTTCGGCGGCGCTGTAATTAAGACCGCATCTTGGAAGGCCTCGCGTCAAGTGGCGCTGACCCGCGCGACTTTGCACTGCATACAAGTACTGAACTCTTTTTTTTTCTTCACTATATCCTAAATAGTGTTATGTATCGTGCATGCATTACACAGTGACCATTTTGGTCACATCACTTTTTAAACTAGATATGTATGTTTACCGAACGTTGGGGCATTTGAACATATTTCAAGCGTACGCACGAATACAATATTGTCAACCTGCTAGTGTTACGTTTATTTTTTACCCCTCGCAGTTATGTATAAATAATGTAACATGAGTCCATTTTATATTCGGTTACCCTGTTGATAAATAAACTAAAGCAATTCATGCGATCTGCACAGTCTATTAATATCCAATTCATTATACTTTGTTTTACACATGTGCAGCATGTGTAGTTTTTGGAGGGATCTCTGTTGCTTGAATTATAAACTAATATCAAACCACACTAAAAACGTTATTACTTGTGATATGTTCAAAATAATGCAAGTCCAAGGAATGCCTAATCATAGATTTGGCATCAAATGTTTGTTCAAGGTTGTGACTTTTATCATTCTTTCATGCGGAAATTGTACACATGGAGAATTGATAACATTCCTAGAAATGTTTTTTTGTATGTAACTTGTCATAAGAAGGGAGATGTAAAGGAACATCAGCCACAGTTGACAGCTTAGACAAGCCCAGTGACAAGAGGCGAGTGTGTTGACAGGCAGCACGCTTCAAAGGCCACACGAATGAAATATAGGAAACCTACTCTTTAATAATGAAGAAAATCCTCATTCAGCCGAGCTGGAGAATAGGCCAAGTTAAGTCGCCAGGTTTTACAAAAATAATATTCCCAGTTAAAGTTTTGTTTGACTTGATGGAAAGTTGTTGAGAATGCTAGACATCAACCACTATTTTATTGTCAGCATTGATGTCAAAGTAATGAAGGAGACTTAAAAGGACCAAAAATTTGTTTCATTTGGCAATTTTGCTCTTTTTCAAGGCATGAGCCACCAAGATGTTGGTAAAAGCTCCTAATTTGTGTTGAATAAAATGTTATATTCAACTGGCCCTGGTGATTATGAAAATCTCATAGTTAAAATGTTTGTTTATTTAACGAATAATTTTTTGTCATTTGTTCATTTGGAACTCTACAGTAAATACAGTCTGGTGATTAACAATGTGTGGCAGAACCATATGCCGCTATTATACTGATCATTTGTTAGGAATTCTATATCCAGATGTTGGAGGAAAAGATAAAAGTGCTTTCCTTTCAAGAGTGTGGCTTATTCCATAGACATTATAGAATCTAGGAATAGGTTACAGATGGTCGTTTTATGATATGTTGCATGGCTCTGCATTCGACAGTTATTCACAAACCGTTAATTGTTTGCGAATTGTTCCTGTTTAAAAAATAGGTCAATTGAAGATGCTTGCTTCAGGTTTAAAGTGCAAAGAGTTTAATTGCAGGGGATGCCTGTTTAAAATTGGTAATCGAGGTAACTGTATATGTTATTTTAACCTACCCTTTAAGAATGAAGAATACTGTCGCTCACAGACGCTGCCTGCAATTTGAACCAGTGGTCTGGTTTTGCTTTGTGCGCGAGTGATTTGTGAACGTGTCCGGGAACCAACAACTGTTTCGGCAGATGTCACCTTAAACATGTGCGAGAAAAGGGCCAGTGCTGAAGCTGCTGTATTATTAGCTTGCATATAGTCCACAAGTCTCATGAGCCTTCACCCTAAACAGTATTTCAAGCAATAACCTACATATTTAATGTTAAAACGGATAATTTGTTTTAAAAAAACAACATTTTTGTTAAATCGAAGTCTACTTTTTTGTTCTAAAGCATTTTATTAACAACGATTCGGGTACACGCCACTGAGAATATGAAAGGGGATTGGCACCAGCGCAAACACATTGCGGATTACAGTGCAATGGAAAAACCTGTCTAAACCGCACGTTTCAATCAAGATTTCAATACACTCTACAACCCTGATGTCTTCCTAAGCTCTGATGCCCCTTTAGAAGAAGAAAAAAGGGAGGGAGGGATAGGGGGCACTGCCCAGTGCCGTAATGAATGCTCTTAAGAATTAATGCCGAGTGTAGGAGAGGTCGTGAAGGTGGTCCAGGTTTAGTGGTAAGCTTCCTCCCCAGCCCTATCGAAGTCAACCTTTGTTTACCAATAACCGCAATGGATTGAGACAATATCTCAATTTTGGTATTGGTTTTAAAAAGCAAGATGAGCTCCGGGGTACGTTTTTTTAAGGCTCGACAATCTATTCCCGTATTCTGCAGATTAAAAGACGCACCCCAAACTTATGCCCGGTGTTAATGAAGTTATACAAATCTGGTCACGTATACATTACCACCAGATGAGACAATTCTCAACGTTTGCTTTAATTTACAGGAAGGGAGAAATGAGTGTAAGTTTGTAATTTTACACTAGACTTAAATGAACTACTGTATTTCAACAGTTATATATATGTGGGCTTATGAACTTTGCTTGTCACCCAGTCTTGTAACGGCAAGCTGATTAACTTCGTAGGTCACTCTTACTTTTGGCTGACAGTATATTTTTCCTCTGAAAAGGCTGCATTTAATTTGATCTACACTTGCATTGTTACCTTGTCGCAATAAGTCAGAGGTGTTACAAAAGTCTTCGGATATTTTAGCCGATAGTTGTGAATTGCTTTAAGTTAAAACGACTGTAATGTAGAGTTTTTGCAATTGATCTAATTTGGTAATTGTGCTTAATTAAAAAAAAGAGTAATTTAGTTTGTCAGTTGATGGTTATGTATTGATTAAAATCATCCAACAGCACATATGGCGAAGGGCGAAAGATCGTGACATGCTCCATTTCATTTAAATGCAGCCCGAGCTAACATCTAAATCAACATTTTTTTTATAAAAGGGAAGCCCTTTGGGTTTGGGGGGTTAAGTGCACACGGGAAATAATTTAATCAGACACCCAGATGAGTGGGATGAGTATTTTATCGTAAGAATGCGGGACATGAAACAGCCTTGCTTGCCAAATCTAATGTGGGGGGTCAACGAGCACGGGGCAAATGCACTCCCTCTTTTAATACATCTCCTCCCTACTCCAATGATTTGTGGCTGACGCTATAAACTTCTTGCTTACAGATATTTGATGTTTTAAGATTATTTTTTTTTAAACGGCCTTGTTTCTATGACCCAGTCAAATTAATTGCTCTTTTGTTGCATGTTTTTTTTCTTCTCAAGTTCAAATAAAAAAAGTGCAGCATGGTAATAACAAACTTTGGTTTTCAATGACCCTGCATGAGCAAAGTGCTCTTGAAAAGTTTCAGGTTGCTGTTTGTGTCGTAATATGCAACGATTAATGATGGTATACAGTTTTATGATTTCTTAATAAGCACAAATGTGTCGTGTTCATGTGCCTAAGTGCATGGCTTAGATCATTAGCCGATACAGTGTAGTAAAGAATTAAAACTTTCGTGACTGCATAAATTACTCATTGGTTTTTTCGGTAAAGTCACGTATGTAGAAATACCATAAAATTATATTGAAATAAAATAAATCAATCACCACGTTTAGACCGCAACACAAGCGATCTTCATCAGGTGTAAAAAAACAAATAGCGAGGGAGCATATAGGGCGACACCAAGGCAACAC